CGCGGTTCAATGCTAATTGCACCACGACTCTCCCCAAACAACTAAATTGCCATACAACTCCCCTTTTTTGAATCACACGTCACGCCCATCTCGTGACTTATTAATCCATTTCCACCAATCAAAACTAATTATTCTGCCCAATCAGAACGCCACCTATAAATGTACTGCACGTGGAGTGAAATCCTGCTGAAGTAGGCGGAACCAACGCCACGCAGCAGGCCCGATACTGACCAAATGTGGCCCCTAAAAAATCTTTTGGGCTAATCGCCCACAACGCTGCAAGCTTTTACACGTTAGAACTGTATTTAGGAACCACTCCTCCACGCAGGGACACCTTTTTCGGTTTCCTCCAGAAATTTGAATATAATTTATTTCAAGCAAACTCAATTTGTGGTTATGCATCCCGCCGTTTAGACTAAAATAATTTTTGTTTTATTTTGCCTTTATTTTTGAGTGGGCGGGGTTTCAGTCAACTATACATTTACAAATATTCATGCCTGAACCCGGATTCGAACCAGTGACCCTTAGTACCACAGTTCAGCTTTAACTAAACTGCGCCACACGGGCCGGCCGGTGTTTCTGAAGGAACTGAATGTATTTGTGGTGGTAATCGTTAATCTCAAATTATGCTTATGGAACACATTCAGTTTCGACAATAAAAGTCAACATCTTGATTTATGCTACTTTTAACTACCTACTTTCATTTTGTGCCAGAATTTTAGTCGTGGTAGGTAGGGTTCATCTCGATTATTGTGTGAGACAATAAAATTTATACTTCTTGACCAGTCATGATCGACGACTGGGTTGCGATTAGGTTTCCATTGGCAAATGCCTTCCGTTTGGGAAAAAATATTCATTGGGAGCACCTCCATAGTCTAAGAAGCGATTGTTTTCTGGATTTTGTTATGATGCACTGGTACTTACTGGAAAATAATATACCGACAATAATTCTTTCATTTTGGGTGCAAACAAGTCAGTAGCTTCCTATAGTACCATCAAATCTACTATTTCAAGATATTTTATCACTCGAAAGGTGAAAATGGGACAGAACCTTATCCGGCCCGAACAGTTTATTACATCGTTGTCTTATGGGCAGGTACTACCAATGTGTTGGTATGTAATTTAGATCAAAAGTTTTTTTTTTTGCTTGCATAATGAAGTTAGGTAAGGTACATTACACCTTAAATTGGTTATAAATTACAAGTGGTCGCACCTTTGAAATACCAGAACGGCGTGACCTTGAATAAAAGATCACAAAAGGTGTCGCGATAGACGCGAGTCGCCGTTCGGTTCTGCGTAATGTTTAGAAATTCAGGTTGATCTGGCAAACTATAGCTCACCTTGGCCGCATCTTTGGTCGATTGAAGTGAAGCCGTGGATTATTACTCACCTGGATATGGATACAACTCTCTGTGTAGAACGCAAAAAACGAGATAAGTACCTACTTACCTAAAAAGTTTATATGAGGCAATGCGGTTATACCTCGATGACATAGTATCAAAAAACACTAAAACAGTTACTTGAGTGAAACGTTCTGGTGCTCATTTTTGACGGTACAGTTTTAGAAAACACCAAAAAACCAAGTTGAAAGCTCCCGCGCCATCAAAAAGCAGAGGATAAATATTGTGGGAGATTTGGAGACATGGAGGTAAGTGTGGGACAACGCTAAACACACATTCAACATCGATTCTACAATATGCAAAACTTAACAATTCGAGGAAATATCTCTTGAATTTGAATAATTTTAACATGACATTAATCGAATACAAAATTTGAACAGTTTATGAGTGGCCAACGCAGATAGATTTAAAACCAACCCCACGTCTTTTCCCACTTGTAATTTGTGAAACCACTCTCGTACATCAAATATATGATGTAAGTACATTGTTAGTTAGCCGGACTTTCTCCAATCCAGAATGTATCTAAAGTCCTTGAAACGGTAACCCTTAGACCAAAGTGGTATTTCGAGATAAATGCCGCTAAGTAATTTTGTTCGACAGTTACCTCTAATTTAAGGGTTACAAGCAAATGAAGGTAACAGAATTTACAATAAAGCGAATACAAAATTTACACGAAAAATTGGAATTTGAAAGTTAATGCTAAATACAAGTGTACTCGCTGAAGGCAAATGTAAAAGTAAATTTTATAATGAACCTGTATGAACCTCAAACTGCACCATAAGCAAAGCTAAATCAAGACAAATCTTTCATTTATATACAGACTATAGGCTTATTTATGTTAACCAATATGAATAAGTAATAAGAATAAAATGGTTTTTCCTGCCAATTCCTGAATAGAGATCCGGGATGGTTCGTGCATTAGGCGAGCGGTAATCTCCCCATGTTCTCCATTCGTTCTCCTTCGGTGATGCCGAAGGACTGTCGGAAGGTCGTGCTATTCCAAGATCCATCATGGTTTGAAACTCCTTCGGGGCGGCCTCGAGTTTTCCGGTTGCCGTGGGTTGTGGGCTACAGTTGGCCTATTTGAGGCATAATGTCTGGCGGTTTGGTCAGGTGTATAGCTCGTGGTATTTTCCATTTTTCGGTGCGGATCCAATACTTCCTATTTCGTTACCTGCTTGCCTGCTATTGTTCGTTAGCGTGGTCAGCCTAGCGATAAGTTTCTGGTCTACCAGGAGTTCGTAATGTGCCAGAAAATCTGTCCCGATGATTAACTTACTCGTCATATATAGTTTGAACCTCCATGGAAAGTTCCTTGGGAGTTTTAAATCTAGGTTCATGTTTATAGTACCGTATGTACCGTTGACCGCGTACAGTTTACATGAAGAAATTGCCCGTCTGTCTGCCGTTCTGATACGTGGAAAGACTTATACCTTGGCTTCTTTTCCGTCGACTGATTTTAAGCATTTCCTACGAACGAAACGGATAAGTGGCAGTATTCAGGAACGACGACTGTGTACGGAAACGCGAACTGGTATTAAGGGCTGAAATATCCTACGATAAACCGGGCCAAATTTTACGGCTCAATTTTGCTCTCAACTTAACCAGCACACATTTCTCTGAAATACGCCAATGTACTCGTATATTCACGAAATGATAAAATTAAATAAATAAAATGCAAACGGATACAAGTAATTCTTTTAGCTAAATTTAATATAATTTACGTTAGCTGCTCGCATATTTTGGGCAATTACATACAATTAATCAACGGTAAGTGAAGAGATATTACCTTGCAGTACTGTGAGATTCGAACTTTATTAACAGTAGTGGCTGACAGTATTGTTTTTATCCTTTACAACCAAAATCTCAATTTCTTTAGAACCAAATTAAACGAAAGTTTGTTTTTCTCTGTTATTGCTGTCGTTGCGAAACCGAATTCTGTGTAGGCATCTCCTACAAAAATTATGAGAATAGGGGTTTACAGTATAGTTGAATTCCGTAGTTCTATAATTAAGCGTATACCTGAAACCATAAAAGAATTTTTTGGATAACAAAAGTTTATTTAAAAATAGTGGCTGATTAGAAAATAAATAATGAACATGTGCGATATTAGGGATTTATTCAAAACGTGATGATTGTGACGGGCTTTGTGACGTAATAAGCCCGACCAATCAGCTGATAGAACCATTCAGATGACTTGGCAATATTGCAGGAGAATGTCATTTGTAACTTGCGCCATCTGTCACAGGCACTTGTCACTTGTCGTTCACTTTCGCGTTAGATGCAGTTAAACATGCCTCTAAAACATCAAATCCGACACACGTCAGACCCTCGCACAAGGTTGCCGGCTCACTTCTACGTGATTGGTTGTAGGTTTGTGGCGTATTTCGACTGAAGCGTTTCAAATTCGAACTAAAAACACGGCTTTTCATTAATTTATTTTGGTTTTATTTTACTCGCAAATAAAAATTGAGGACACACGGGTCTTTTTATTTTTATTGTACTTTGTAGATCAGAAATAAAAAATGAAGCCGGGATGACCCTATTTATGGGCATAAAGTAAAAATGATAAAATTGATCAAATGAGGAGTTACACCCCTAACTATTCCAAAACGTTTCTTTAATTTCTTACCGTAACACATAGGAGGGTGGAATTGACGAATTTCCTTGGTTTTTGTGTCATTTTTATGGTTTTTGCTTTCGAGTTTTCGTGTTGAAAAATCCCATATAGCAAATTTGGTAGAGGGTTTATCTTATTTATCGCACCCCTGTCAGATTAAAATTCTTCATAATCACAAACCACTACTGGACCATGAAATGACCTTACAAGCAGACGCTCTAAATCAATATGCAATGCAATTCTGTAATGAGCACGACTGACATTTGTAAAGGAATACTAACTTTCGTTAACCATTGAACTTACCATTAACTGCACATACGGACCCAAATTTAAATGTTAAAAAGCGGAGAATGCAAAAGATCAAAGCGTCATTGAATTTCACCTTTGCCCTAACGATAATTACAGGTGGGTTTTATTGTTAGTTGTTCGATAATAATTGTGCATTCCTATTATGCAGACTCATCAAATTATGCAGATTTGCCTATTTTAGTTTAGATTTCTGTTACAACCCTTGCATAGTTTTGAAATCTTCCCACCAATATTTGGTAAGTTTCATGCTTCGCTGATTTAAATAAGATTAGCAACGATGCAAATGAATATAAAATTAATCTGTACTGTCGGTACAACTGCGTTAACAACACAATATAACAGTATAGAGGTATGTGCAATAACCAGCATTAAAATGTAATTATCCGGAGGCGAATGTAGTTGACAAAACGTATTTATTACAATAATTAGAAAGCGCATTATTTCATACTTATGCGGTTTTTATAAAATACAATATTTACATAACGTTATTTAACAGTATGTGCTGGCATTTTATTCCAAAATCAAATGAGTAAATATTGAATTATGGCGGAAGACGCTTAACAAATAGGTAATTATTACGTAACATATTCGTGAGCTTCCGTATTATTAATATGCACTATGCAGACATTTTTCACAACAAGCGTCTACATTTTGTTTCTTTTTTATTTTAGATTTTTATTGGTTTTTGTTGTGGCGCACTTATCCGCTGAAGTTCCTCCAGTAGCAGTACCAAAACCCGTAGATGAGTTCGTATTCATTCAAGCGTCGAATAGTGGTGCTCGTCCAGTAGCTCGAAAAGATAAACCCTCGTCGGATGCTGAGGGAGCGTTTGAAACAGCACACAAACTTCCCCCATATATAACATATCTTTTAAACGACAACGACACAGATGCCGATCAAGATAGCGAAGTCGCCAGACAAAAACGGGGGGCCGTATCACCCGCACCCGCTCCTCCAGGTTCCATTAAATTGGATCCGCTAGCACTCCTGGAGAGGTACAAGCAGGAGTTAAGTTCGACTACGGTAGCCATGACTACACCGACAACCCCCAAAAAAAGAACAAAAAAAGAAGCCAACCCAGCAACAACAGCTCATCCTCGACCCGTTCTAACATCAAGGGGACCACCTCCATCACGTGGGAACACTAAAGAAAGCTCGCTTTCAACAAGTGAAAGCGAAAAGCAACGTTCTCGGATACAAATAAAAAAAGGACCAAATGGTCAAGAGTATGAATACGAATATGTCTACTACTACTATGACGATGATGACGATAAAGACACTAAAGAAAAGGTATATAACTCTCACGATGGCCCTGCGCGGGAGCAACAAGAAAAAAATAACTACAGCAAGGAAGCAGCTTCCAACGAAATTGTTCCCAGCAGAGGGCGATCTCGTGGCCGTCAGTTAGAAGATGAAGATGTGGTTGGTGAAGACCGCCTGCCCCCAAGCACAAGATTCCCGCCTAGAAGCAGAAATTTTGCAACGACTCCAGTTTCGGAAGAAGATCCCAAACCAACCACTAGAGGAAAGACTCGAGGAAAACCCTTAACTACGATCCCCACCGCACCAACCGCAGTCAATTCCGAAGAAAGTCAGGTAAATCGATTTCAGTGCAATACTCTCGTTCATTGATTTGTAATAGAACTCGCGGGGTCGAACTCGTAATAATGTCCGAAGACCGTCTTTGGAACTTGTTGATAGCGCGAGCTTCAACACTAATTCTGGCGGGGCTGGGCCTGATCCCGCAAGCGGAGGGCCATCGTTCCCATCAGACTTACCTGCTGGACCAGTTAGATTTTTAGGAGCTACGCCCAATGAACGCATCGAATTACACGTAAGGACCTAATCGCCAGTTACTCAAAATACATAGGCTTGTTTTAGGATCATGATAGAGCATCTGTAAGTGCAGAAGTTTATCCTGAATCAAGCATAACTACAACAAGTTCAGCCGATTCTACGACAATGACTATATCGCCAATGGATAAAGTGGCTTTAGATTTGTATGCAATTCTTCAAGGAACGCAAAAGCTCTCGGGAGAAGACGTATGTTTCAACAGTGGAAGCACTTAATTATTTGGTTTTAATAGGATAATGACGAGAGCGGTTCCACTACCGACGGTTCTGATGGTACAACCTCCCAAGGAACAACGGATGTTCCCACGACTGAATACGTAACAACGACTACCACGACAACGACCACCACCACCACAACAACGACCACTACACCCGCACCAACAACCACCCCTTCCGAAGCTCCAATAGGCCGAGGTAGATTCCGTGGAAATGCAAACAAACGAAAACCTGCACAATCTACAACGACAGCTGCGCCTGTTGAAGTGACTCCAGACACAAAGCCCAAGGGACGATTTGGAAGGCCTTCATTCAATAGAGTTAGACCAGGCGCGAACAAAAGTACACCTGAACCCAACAACGAACCCAGTGTAACAAAGGAAGAAGTCAAACCTGTAAGCCGAGCAAAGGTCAGCCCCCCATTATAATACCATTCTATCAATTAACCTAACACTTTTAGCCTGCTGCAAGGCCTCGTTTTGGAAACAGAGGCAGACCCACAACTGAGGCATCCGAGGATGCCCACCACGAGGAGACCGTAAGCAGTACGACCAAATCAACTGTAACTCGTCCACGATCCAACTTTAACATTCGAACAAGAAATCGCAGTACGACCAGCGCCCCTCCTGAGGAATCTCCCCATACATCCGACGACGCCCACGCGGAAGAAAACGCTATCAGTACGCCTAAGCCGAGGGCCAGAATAGTACCAGGAAATAACGTAAGACCTCTAAGACCAGGACCAAAAATTAGCATAGGAAGGGGGCGATTGTCAACGACGAGCACAGTCGCGCCTGAACCTGCAGCCGAGGATCCCTCTCCCAAAGACTCGGAATCCGAAGACTCTCCCAAAGAGGTAAAAACTTACGCACCCTACTAGATTTAATACCACTCTTTGACCACAGGAGCCCACTACTCCTGCGCCGGTCGAGGACAAAAACCCCCTGCACCGATTGCGTAATCGACCTCGTCTCAGTCCCGCCGCGCCAGCTCAGCGGCCCAAGACGGCCGCCAGCACCCCCGTGCAGGTGAGACGAGTCAACCCTCTCGCGAACAGGAGAAGGCCGGGCGCTCCCGAACCGTCCACTACCGAGGCGGCCCGCGAACCCGAACCGACCGAGGAGCCCGCCTCCGACGACGATGAAGAAGAAGCGCAAACCCAAGCGCCAAGTTCCTCCACTACCGAAGAACCTAAAGGACTAAATAAATTACTAGCCGGCCGACGAAGGTTAGCCCTTCGGCAGCCCGGTTCGCAAAACTAAACACGAAAAGTACCATTTATTCGTAAATAGAGACTTTAAATTTGATAGCTGATGAAGCACGTGAGTCATCCAACTATTTTATCTGTCGCATTTCCCTTTCTGAGTTTATTCGTTGCTAACTGAAATCTTCCAAATTTAGGCTGGGTCAACGGACAACAAAAATATTTTTGGTAACGTTCCATTAATCCTCCAATTGTTGTGTGAAAAGCACTCTTAGGTTGTGATTGTTTAACAATAAATATGATTGAATGAGTCAAAAGTAATTATAAGTGTGATAAATGTGTGGAGTTATTTGAATGAAATGTAGATAAATTTTCCTATCGCCTAATTCTTTTTAATGAAAACACCTAGGTATTTGTAATTTTGTATATGTTATTTAATGCAACTTTAGGTTCGTTAGTAAGTACCTAATTAATTAAAGCAGTCAGTCTTGCGAATATTTAAGTTTGAAAACAAAAAATTTGATGCCTATGCAATCCATAAAACTTTACATTGTACTATTTTAGTTTTAAGCCAACGTGCAGGCCTGAAATGTGCCAATACCCATGATATACTAGTTATATTTATTATTGTATAGTTCCGTGATGCTTATTTGTATGTTATATTAGGTGTAATAAACAATTTCTGAAATTTACAAGTTTATTTATCGACCCCGCTGCAGAGCTAAATTTCCCTATTGTAACATAGCCCGCTGATTTTGACTGGTTTACTTTATTTTTCTCTCCTCTGCAACCACATTAAACTTTCTATTGGAGAAGGAAAAAAATCTCAGCGACATGTATTTAAAATGAAAATAATATTCCAAAAAAAGAAACGATTAGAGAAATAGAGCAGGTAAATGAGGAAAATAAAGAAAACGGCAAGACGAAACAAGGAACAAGAAAAATAACAGTTCGTCAAACTAAATGTGAGATGGATCATCTTGCCTTAAACGTTGGGTTATTTGTTTACGCAGTTTCATTAAATCTGGAGATGGCGGAAAGGAAATGAGAGTAGGTATATAAAGAATTAAACTAGAACCGCGTATATTTTTCTAGAACCAAGTATTAAATTGTTAAAAGTTAGTGGGTTGGGTTGGTAGAGCAGCCTTGGCTGAAACCCCGCTGGCGGACTATCTAGCCTCTTGCCTTTTGTGTTATTTAATGCAGGCAATAATATTTGTTTGTTCTGTATACAAGACTTTATATTTTTATTTTATAATTTTCACTCTTTGCTTTTGAAATTGACATGATTTAATCTCAATTACGGAATCATATATGGCAAATGCCGTTAACTTTTGTTTGAAACTGTTTTCATTTTTGGTGTAAATGTTTGCTCAAATTATGGTTATGTTTTGGTTGCATGATCTTGACCGGATGTTAAATTTATATAAATTAGTGTACGGAAGCTACCACTTTATTCGCCTTGAAGAGACATCAATCACAGAGATGGGAATACTGTAACTACACTAGTTACTTTTAAACGTTAACCGGATTGATTTTATTTCCGCATTATTGTAGTGTGAAGTTAGCGTAGAACCTGGGAGTGTGATAAGAAAGAGGGATGAGATTAGAGCAGCATAGTATGAAGCAAATTTTATCATTGTACCTGTACCTGTATAAAATGGCCGCCTAGAGTTCGTTGGCCACCGTCGGTACATATAAATACAAACGTATTTTAAAAAATTATTCATCCATCTGGTGTAACATTTTGTTATTTTCACTAAACAAGAAGTACCTAAACACAGTGTAGTGTACTTAACCCCCAGATTCTACGCTAAACTACAAGAACACGGAAATAATGTCAACCCGGCAACGTTTAGAAATGGCCACCCGAATTACTATTCCCTCCAAAACTAAACAAGATCCCGCTTAGATTTGAAAAGTGGTTAGAAACAAGTTTGGGGAATTATGGGTCAAGTAAGCAGGTACCAAGGATTCAAAAAAAGGTTGAATAAACAGGATGTGACTCATCTTTGATGCAATAAAGTCCTTTTGTTGAAAACAACATGTCCTTGTAGGCAAATTTAACTAAAAACAAGATATGTGGAAATTATTGAATCGCCACTCATTTATCGCACATAGATTCTAAACTGAAGAGCTTTGTTTAGCGTAATCCCGCTCCGAAAAGATGGATAACCCGCCCCTGGTTTCGGGGTTTCGAGCCTACAGTTGAATGTCGAAGACAATCACAGAATTAGGTGTCGTAACTCAATTTTGACTAAAGTTTTTACCGCCCCCGTGACTGCTTCATTCACGGAGAAAATTGTTAGTAACAAACAACAAGTCAGTACATACATCAAACGAATCGGTAATTTCCACATATTAAAATAAAATGAAAACTTATACAGTCCCACCATGCTCAGAAAAGCCCCGGAAAATATGCGAACTAATTTTGAAATAATTCAGGCTGGCCAATAGAAAGTCTGCAAAACGACGCGATACATTCCACGTCATAATTATTCCGTTTTGACAGTTTGCGCTTCACGTTATTTTAGTTTACACTTTGCTTCTTGAATTTGCTTTATTTTACGTTTTCCGTATCCAGTTTTATACACACTCGTCTTTTTCAAGACGCATATAGCTTGGAATACGATCTGATAAGGTATGTAATTCCCTTAAAGTGTTTTTAAATTTTGCATCAGAATGTACGGTCTAAATTTCTAGCGCCCTCGGACACGTCCTGTCAGGGACTTTCTGAGCGTGGTGCCACTGTATAAATGTTACTTCAGGGACAAGACCAAGTAATCAATATCAATAAACATAAATTAAGCAAACATTACACCAAAAACGTAAACAATTACAAACAATAGCATAACGGTATCACATACTATCCTTGCCAGGGATCTGTGCCCCTGCGTCATCATTTATATTTTATGGTATAATATGAAAAAAGCTAGTCAAATTATGTCCGTAATAATTATATGTATAATATCCTTGAATGATAATGTATGCTCAGAGATGGCGGCAGCGGCGCTAAAAAACTTATTGACATTACGAAGTTTTGTTATGCTGTGAATTATCTGACGAATTTGTAAAGCGCAATTAATGGTCGGCAAAATATCTTAATCTGCGCCTAATTTGTAAATATCCAAGAAATGGAAAGAATCAAACAAAATGCAGTGACAGATGAACGAAATGAGAGGTTATGTATGTCGGTCAACAAAACAATCACGTAGCTAGTCAAATGAGTATCCAATTTTATAAACATGAGAAACAGGAGTCACCTTATTTTCATCGGTGTTCTCTTTTCACCGCATTGAATCCATTAATAGCGTACGTCGAACGCGTGAAATGCACTTTATTTATGATCTATCCTTGTTTGAATTGCGCGGTAATGAAATGGCATTATCAACAAGTTAGATGTTGCTTGATTCGTACGTTGATGACGCAGGGGCACAGATCCCTGGCAAGGATATTATGTGATTATGCATTGCGGTTAAACCAAGTAAATTTCAAAAACAAAGATGCAAACACACAATAAATATAAAATGCGGCATACAAAACATAAATACGATATAAAGAAATGCAAAGATTACTACCTGCATTAAAAAAACACAAAATAACAACAAACATTTATGGAGCGACACGTTCACCACCGCCATTCAAGACAAGATGCCAAACGTAATTACCCTCGTCGGTACTTTTTAGATGGCGCAGGCAGCTTTTTCTCACCCCAGAAATTGCATAGTTGCCAATTCTCAAACATGTATGTATCGTCGTAAGTTGTATATACACGGTGGCACCTCTCAACAGTTTGTTTGACACCGGGAATATGGCCCCCACACAGAAAACTAAGTTAAAAACTTTGATTATATACTACTGGATAGCGCATTCTTAATGATAGAAGAGTACAACCCGTATTCCAATTCGTGCAACCCAGATAGCTATAATTTTTCAGTGAAAAGAAATGAGATACAAGGAGAAGTTTGTACCAATTTGAATTGCGCATGTCAGGCGTTAATAAACCGGAAACTAATGGCGTTGTCCGTATAACCATAGCTGATTCTTTGCTTTGCTTGTTTATTTGCTGTTTTACCTTTAATTAATCGTGATAGTTCTGCGTTGTTTTTATGTTTGTAAAGAGAATAGTGCATAATATGCAATTAACATGAAGCTAAATGTTTACTTCCAAAAAAGATGTAACGGTTTCAACAGTCCGACTATTCCCGCGCGAAGTTTATACCGTAAGCAGGTGCAAAATGATTTGGTACAACATAAGTCTATCTCTTTTTTTGGAACATACATTTTATTTTTAAGGAATGCGCTATCCAGTAGTATATAATCAAAGGTTAAAAACATGTTTTTGAGTGTGACCGCCATTTTGAATTTTCTGGTTAGCAACATAGGTCATATTTGATATGTCATTAGAAAGAATACAATTTTACTCTTTATTACTAAGACTATTGACTAACTGGAAACTAAAACAGCCCTTGAATAGATTGATTTATTCGGTACAGTTTCAACATTGGAAATCCTCACTGGTGTTCATGTCATTCATAATCCGGCCCTGTCTTGTTTTTGTAGTTGTCACTGTGCAATGTTTGTTTACGTATTTTATACATTTGAGGTTATCTTTGAACAAGATCAGGAAATTCGTGGCACAAAAGTATGAGATTGTGCGGTATCCTGCATTTAAATTTTAAATCTAAGTGTCGCAAATAGAATAGAATGTTAAACAATTCTTATACGCAAGTTTCTTCAAATACCCAAAATGAAGTCCCTCCAACGAAGAAAGATAATGAGCAGGTACCAACAAGCAGCAAAACTGGGCTTCGAAACATTCGTGCAATCGTTTTCTTACTGTTGTGGTACATCTTTAGCGGGTGTACGCTTTTTTTAAACAAATATATTTTAACTTATCTAAATGGGAATCCAACAATGTTAGGTAAGGAAGCGTAACCAAGTTACATGTGGTAATATACGATTTAGGTGCTTGTCAAATGTTAATGACCGCAACCTGTGGATTTATACAAATGTACTTTCCATGCGGAATGTACAAACCGACGCAGAGGTTTCATCGTCCCCCTGGATTTTATCGACACATGGTTTTAGTCGGGTGCACTAGGTAAATACACTTATAACGGGATGCCAAATGTATGAATTGTTTACAGGTTTCTGACGGTAGTATTAGGATTAATCGCTTTAAATTATGTAGCAGTTAGCTTTACCGAAACTATTAAGAGTTCGGCACCCCTGTTTACAGTTATAATATCGAGATGCTTATTAGGTAAGTCAATTCACCCGTTACCTATGTCTCATTTTCACTCTTAACAGGCGAGCAGACCGGTTGGTTTGTTAATTTAAGTCTGTTGCCGGTCATGTCAGGTTTAGCCCTTTGTTCGGCGAACGAAATTAGCTTCGAAATACGAGGGTTTATAGCGGCGATGGCGACTAACCTTACCGAATGTTTACAGAACGTTTACTCGAAGATGTTAATTTCGGGAGATAAATTCAAGTATACGTAAGTACTGAATCGGTTTATGTTTAACTTGTTAATACAATTTTCTGGGCCTGGTGGGTAAGTATCTTTCGATTCTGTAGCTCGGTTTGTATGTGTAAAATATAGTCCTAAAATAAGAGTAATTCTTAATCCTTGAATTGTTTCATTATAGGATTTTTATTCAAATAATATTTATTCGGGAAGGAATTTAATTGTTTAGTTATGTTTCTCCAAAAGATTTCTACACTTCCTAGGTTTGTTGCTGAGCTATAGGATGAAATCGAAAAGTTTGACTTATTGGGGTGTGGCGTAGTCAAAAAATTGTTTGGTCCACCGTTCCTGAGATTTGATCCAATGTTGGTATTTTTTAAATGCGGCACACTGTATATCACAACCTATATTTTTTTTTAATTTTAGCCATGAACCAAACATTGAAACCTTATTTTTTATGGTTTTTAAGTTGGCCATGGATTCATGCAGATTTTGTTTTTTTATTGTACCTATTCATGGCAGCCGATACCAATCAATAAAAATGGCTGACTGTAGAATCATTTCAAAGTTTATCAAAAAAACGAATGCAAATCATTGACCTTAAGATTATAGGGTGTTACATTCAAAAAAATACCAACATTGGCAATTAGGTCAAATCTCAGAAACGGTGGTCCTAACAATTTGTTGCCACTGGATTCTATAAGTATGTAAACATGTCCAACATACGCAGTGTCAATCTATCTTACATGGGTAGTAAAATATGAGAACATCCCAAAAAGTCAAACTTTTCACTTTTTCACCCTGTATCTCAGCAACGTACATAGCTAGATTGATTCTATTTGCGACATTAAAAGTTTCACAAAAAAGTGGTACAGGATCGCGAAAATCCCAATTCTGGATCATTAAAAACAGCTGAGATGCACCGTAGTGTCAATCAAAATAGGACACACGGTACACTGCCAAAATTATAAAAAAATGTTTTGGTTTTTTAACATTGACATTTTTTCTCTGTTTTTTAATAATGGTTCGCCTTGTATATTTTTCAAAATTTTTTTCCGATTTCAAATGCATCTAGTATTTTTAAATTTCTAGTGAAATTTGCGGTAGCCTTTTTTGAAATATTTGCGTTTATAATAATTATCATCAAATTGTTTTACCAAATCATAGTTATCATGACAAAACAAATGATTTGAAAGTCCCATTAATAATTAGTAATTTCTGCTGTCAAAATTATTTTATTCCATTCCATCCATAAAATGAGTTATACAGATGAAGAAAAGATAGAGACAACAAAAGAAATAGAAAAAGGTTGGGATGTAATCTAAAATTATTGTATCTGATTAATTAAGATTTGCACGTGCCACATTTAACACGGACTACCCCCTGGTGTATGCCACATCCATAGCACACATTTTTGGGCTTGGCAGTTCCAGTTTCTTCCGAATCCACCTGTCGCTGACTGGCCGATTCATTCTCCTTGGGGAACATATCTCAAATTACAGAATTTAGTTTCTTTTTTTAAAATTTTTTAGTGCAGGACTTGGCTCTGACACAACAAAAAACTAACATTGACTTGTAACACTTATAAGAGTCGGCCGCAAACAAATTCCATAAACTCGAATGAAATGGCTACTCAAATTTTGAACTGGAAATGACTTTATGAGAAACAGAAATGCGAAAAATCTTGACACAGAAAAATAAATTTCTACCTAGATTCCGAATTGGGATTCAAACTGACATATAATTAATTGATTCCCATATCCGACTAGACCACCGGTGCAAATTAGCGTCCCAGACTTTACGTTCTCTTTCAAAATAATCCGAGACTCCTTTTTTCTTTGTTCTGCGTAGTTAAGGGAAAACCACTTCCACTAATAATCAATAATCCAACGGCGTGTTCTCCGCGGCACTCGAAATTCCGCACCGTCGTCCGAACTGATAACCACCTGCATTGCCTATCTCGCACGCGGCATTGTTTAATGCAAAACCAATATTATTAGTATTTCAGAATAGTCTTCAAACAACAATATACATTATATATTCATTGGTGTATTTGGAAGAAAACATTCATTGCGGAAATTTGATTTTTACATTTTTCATTGTGAGCACAGATTTGTTATAGGCTTATAGGTCTGTGGCAGTTTTATTTTTAGAAGAAAAAGATTCATTTGTTTTTGCATCATTTTGTCCCCAGACGGCACTTGGATTTTTGCTGGAAAATGTTGTTATTTCTAGTAATTGAAGATTTGGCAGTCTTTGACACTTTGTAGTAAGACATTTTGTTAGACACGGTTAGATTTTGTTTATTTAGCTCTACTTTCCAATTTAAAGTCCACTTGTAACAAGCACTTATACATTAGCTAATGTGTGTTTAGAAAAAAATTATCCAGTTTTTATTTCAGGCCTGCCGAATTGCAATTTTATACAAGTATTGCAAGTATTATCGTACAAATTCCCACGTCTTTGATGTTGGTCGACCTGCAGCATGTGGAAAAACCAGAAATTAAATTAATTTTCTTCTTTGTACTTAACGGAATATTCTTTCACTTTCAAAGTATTACTGCATATGTTCTGATGGACTACATTAGTCCGGTGGCGCATAGGTGAGTTTTTAATAAACCGAAGAAGAAAGTGATTCGGTTTGTTTGTTTTTTAGTGTTGCCAATACCACAAAAAGAGCATTTTTAATTTGGCTATCTGTTTTGATGTTTGGCAATTCTGTAACGTTGTTGAGTGGTATCGGTACTGCAGTCGTAATAATTGGGGTCTTACTGTATATTAAAGCGCAGGAGTATGATGATAAAATGCATACCGCTAATTTAATGTTACGGAAGGTGAGAGCAATATAGTGAAAAGCTAGCAGTTGAAGGAACATTGTGATCGTCGGTCATTTTGGAATTAATATAAAAATGTGATATAAATAGGTGTTCATTTTAGTCTTCTTCGAATTTTAAGTGAGTCATTCCAAATGTTTCCCAGTTCTTTGAATCTACGTATTAGTCAGTATTTTTTTTATCAGAGAATTCTAGCATAGGTCAATTTTAACATGTGATTTATTGTGTGTGATCATAAAGGGTATTCTATAAATGTTTGTGTTACCTATTTTGTTAGTGTAACTAGCTTATTATACTCTTCTAATGTAAATAAACATTCCATTTATTTTATTATATTTAAGAAATTGTTTTTATATGGCATTTCAAACGTGCTTTGATTATTATTATGCCATTTAGTAAAAGGACCAAAAGAGGTTAGGGAATGATGGTATGTCCAGGTAAATCACTTTGACAGTGTCATTTAGCAATAGGGACATTAATTTTGACGGAAAAACTTACCAGAAGCAACTCTTTATCCTTTTTGCTTAATGAGCTGTACAGTTATTATTTCAATCTAGTCTTTAAACAATCTCAATATATGAAATAATCTAAATATTTGTCATACAGATTTATTTTTTTAATGTTAATGCATATTTTTCTGAAGTTCTGTTTGAATACATAAATTAAAAAAATTAAAATGTTTCAACAATAGAGAAAATTTATGTAAAATTGTTAGTGTCATGTCTGTTCGAATTCTTTCACTTCAACGTGAAAAGATAAACAATTTTAATTTGAAATGGTTGTAAAACCACACTATAGAGAGATTAAAGTACGTCATAAAAGTCAATCAGTGGCAGATATTTAGGGATTAAAATATCTTCACATACACAAGAATTATTTTCCTTTACTGTTTCTACTGTTTTTGGGTTCGGAAGTGCGGGTCAGAGTTCTTCTGAGTGCTCCGCTACCATAGTGTTTATTGTCACAATGGTAATGTGCACTTGAAGTCCTAAGTGGCATTTCAGATCACAAAACATGAAGCAGCGGTTGTCACTAAAGTACCAAGTGCAAGTCTGTGTGTCACTGCTTTTAAACATTTGTGTACTAGTCGAATTTAAACAATTCTGTATATTTTCTGTTCCTATTGAATAAATAAATATTTGTTGGCATTCTTTAATTTCCTCCTAATATAGCGAAAAGGTGGGAAAGTAACTACTGTCTAGTATAAGCTATAAACCAGTTACGGACAACTCAAAAAAATCAAACACAGTGTTTTTTAAATGAGACATCCTGTATATTATTTTTTCTATTCATTGAGTGTGACTTTCAAATATAAATGTTTACATGTATTTTTAAAAAATAGCTTGGTTATTTTATTTCAAATATTTATTTTGGAAAAAATTAACTACTAGCTACGCCACTGAACTAGGTTTTACCATGGTCCGTCCTATATGGTTTTTACCTGTAATTTGTTCAAAACAAAGGTACGAGCTAAGAGTAAAAAATAAAAGGAGAGAACCTTGCATTAAAAGGGGACTTGACGGAAATGGACAAAAAGGAAGTGATAAAAGTGCGAGAAGAGTGGGGAGAAACGCGTCATTATTGGCAGTGGTGTAATAAAACAAAACTGACATCGTCTCTTCTGTTTTATGATAAGTCAAGTCGACATAACTGACCAGCGCAAAGGAAGTGATATTTTGACGACTTCCGTCGCATGTTATGCTATTTCCCACCACCGCTATATTCTCTCCTGTTATTTTTTACTCGTAGGGTACGAGTAAAAGTAGGTTGTTACTGTTATGCCAGGTTTTTCTTCTTGCTAGTTCTTTTTTATCTGGCTTTTCAGTTTGTATTTGCTTTACAGAACCAAGCTTGTGCGTAATAAATTTCATTTTTCGTATTCCCTTCGAACGCATCTTCCCGATTATGTCTCACGTTTCAGCACATTAAAAACGGATTGATAGTAATGATCGTAAAGAGAAACAAATTCAATTTTATTTGTGCACCGAGAATATGGCAGCCACACGAAAATTGACCTCAAAGCAAAGAGTAACTAAGTATTCTTTGCTCAAAGCAAGAATTAAAGATAGAGGACGCATACGAGAAAGGCTTATTATGACAACTACGCATGCGCATTTAGATATTTTCTGCCTTCCCTTATGGACAAAATACGATAAGATTTCCCATAACATCAGTTGTCAAAATCTTAACCTCAAAAATCTATTTTTGTGTAGGTATATATTTTGTTATTTGCGGTGTATGTGTGTATTATAACGGCGTCCAAATTTTCATCCATTGCAATCACGCACAAATGGCAAACAAATCGAAATATTAGGTTAGAATTGGTGTCATAACTTTTCCTCTCGGAACTCCTAAAAAATAAGAGGTCCGTGACTCCGTGTGGATAACAAACGACACGCCACTAAAAATCGAACGCTCGCCGTTAACGATACTTGAGCTACATCCACGGTTTATTTGTTCTGTTTATTTCTCACTGGGCAGGAATTGAATTTTATTTCCTACCTTGGGTATGTTTGGAAGTTTCGCTCGAAGTATTTTTGTGTTTCACGTAATAGTGAAATAGAAATATTTGTCGAGGAAGGTAAGTCCATAGTTGTTTTGTTACAATAATTAACGCCCTTTGTTGTAGTTCTAAAATTGTGTAAGTAATGATGTCCGCTAGTGTGGAAATTGAAATAAAACAAGAAGAAATACACACGCTTGATGATAAGAAAGTTTTAATTAGCAACGAATTTTCCGGATCGATAAAGCAGGAACGTGATGAAATTAGTGTGGATTATTCTAATAGCACATATAATTGGGAAAATCAAAATAAAGTGCAGCATGCAGATAATTTTGTAAAATACAACTGTGGTCCCACAGAGGAGAAGCGACAACAAAATTCAGGAGATTTTAAATGTGATCACTGCGACTCTGCAGCTCATGAAAAATGTAGTTTGAGAACACATTTGGTAACACACAACACTGCTAAGGTTTTAAAATGTGCCCAGTGTGATTTTACAACTAATGGTAAATCTAAATTATTACTTCATCAGTTAATACACAAAACTACTAAAGATTTAAAGTGTACTCAGTGTAATTTCGCAACCAATTATAAATATAGTTTTAAAATGCATCTCCTAGCACACAAGACAACCAAGGATTTAAAATGTGCTCAGTGTGATTTCATTACCAATGTTAAGTGTACTTTTAAAGGACATCTGAAAACCCACGTTACTACTAAGGCTTTTAAGTGTGCCTTGTGTGATTATGTAACCAATAACAAAGCGCATCTAAAAGCACATTCGTTGATACACAAGACTACCAAGGAATTGAAATGTGCCGAATGTGTTTATGCCACCAATGACAAATCAAATTTGAGAACACATGTTTTAATACATAAAGACACTAACCCTTTCAAGAATACCAAGAATTTTAAATGTGCACAGTGTAATTACACAACCAATAATAAGTCCCATTTGAAAGTGCATCTGTTAACACACAAGACCACAAAGGATTTAATATGTACCCAGTGTGATTTTGCAACCAATTATAAAGCCAGTTTTAAAGCGCACGCGTTAACACACAACACTACCAAGAATTTGAAGTGTACTCAGTGTGATTATTCAAGCAATAATAACTACTGTTTTAAAACACATCTGTTAACACACAAGACTGCCAAGGATTTCAAATGTGCTCAGTGTGATTTCGCTACCAAACATAAATCCAGTTTAAAATCACATCTTGTAAGACATAAGACGAACAATTTTTTAAACTGTGCTTGGTGCGACTACACAACTAAAGCCAAATCTACTTTGAGAAAACATCTGTTAGTGCACAAAACTATCAGTACAATTACTGAAAACATTACAAATTAGTCATAAAACTTTCAGAATTTACAAAGGTCCAATTTGTTTTGTTCGAGGTTGTTCTGTTTAGCACCACAGCATAGAACATTCAGAGGACAGCCGGTGGTTGCATCCAGTACTTTTAATCACAGACTCGGTTCTTTTTCACGAAACCTGTAAACTGACAAAATTATAGGTGTTGGTCTGCGATGTGACTCATACTTTCTGGGACATATGATATGCCTTCTAGAATTTAAGGTTTGTTTGCTGTATAAGCAAATTGAATTGTGCTTATTTTGTATGATTTCGACACAATTCACTTCAATTTTGGTGGAAGGAAAAGTGTCATAGTTTTTGTTAAACGTCAATGCTGAATAAATAGTGAAATTCGCGCTTGTGTAATAAATTTACGTGTGAATACAATATGTGATATTAACTGATATAAATTCATCTATTTAAGGGTCTTTTTAATGTAGTTTCTCGATGTTAGTGGTAGTTCCTATGAACTTCAATAATTAATTGTCCACATACATAATTCATGTAATTAAATTTACCTTACAATAACATAAATTGCATAAATTTATGCAACCAAGTCGGTTTGGTTTGTTACTGCATTTCATATTTCACAGGTCCAACAATTTCGTGGAATTGGTGCAGGAATATTGCAATTAATCTTTTAATAAGCCGCATTTAAGTTAAAGTATTACTTAGACCCCGTCCGGCAATGAGCACGAGATGAAAAAGAAACAGATACAGTGGAAGAGTGAAACTACCTATTAGCATTGTTTATAAATTAATAAACAATGCTATTAGGTACTTTTTCCACTGTTTAAATGGTTAGTCAATACATACAGCAGAACATTACACTGATAATGATAATCTATACTTCCACATGAACTGTACATTTTATTGAAGTTATGTACTTACATTTGATTCCTACAGTTTGTTATAGTGTGTATCATTTCTTTACTAAAAAAATTTCCGATTTTTTGCATATATTTACAGATCTTTGAAAGCTACTTTGTAAATGGTGATGAAGGTCTTAAATGATGGCAGCGCCGCCTATGCATGCTCATTAAAATTTACAATTACCTTCCAAAGATCATCAAACACTTGGGCATTGAGGAGATACCTTGTGGAGAACTCATAATATAACTTAGATGAATTCTTTGCTAGGCCAACTCCTTAATTCCAGAAAGTGCAATTAATTACTTATTATTATTTTCTGATGTTTGTATTGTGTATGACGAATGTGTGTAATCCTCAAATTACTCTTACATAATAAACATTTCGTATTCGTATAAACCATTTAGCACCTGTATCAAATCTGAACCTAACAGTGAAGAGGGTCTAATTCTGCAGGAATGTAAACCTTGGACTAAGATGTTCAATTATCAGTTCTTAATTCTGTTTCTTCACTTACAAACCTTGCATATTATGTACTCTATAACATGTCACTAACACGCACAGAATTCAATTTGCCTACACTCGAGTTCTACCACTGCATTACATGTTGTTTAAACGCATAATTGAGATTTTTTGTGAAATCACACAATATATACATCATTGTACGTCTTGTCTAAAGATGTATTTTCCAAAAGGTACAAGCAATTGGTTTCAAAATCGGCGCACAGATCGCAAATTTAATCCTCAACTTTTATGCGTGGACATATGTTTTGTCATGTGGGATTTAATATTGGTTTCGAAATCACAATGTGCACATTTTAAATCTTTAGTAGGGGTATGTTTCTGCATAATATGTTTTTTCAAAGTGTATTTGAAATTGGTTGCGTAATCACACAGAGCACATTTTAAATCTTTGGAAGCCTTATGAGTCAACAGATGAGTTTGTAAACTGGCTTTATACTTCGTTGCAAATTCACACTGAACACATTGAAAAGTCTTGCCAGTCTGGTGTGTTAATAGGTGCGTTTTAAAATTGGGTTTATAATTGGTTGCATAATCACACTGACCACATTTGAAATCCTTGATGTGCGTCAAAAGATCCGATTTGGAATATAGTTTATAATAATTAGTTGCGGGATTACACTGATCAGAAGTTTTGTGCGTTAACAAATGTTTTTTCAAATTGGACCTAATATTTGTTGCAAAATTACAATGGACACATTTAAAATCTTTAGTACTCTTGTGCCTTTCCATAATGTGCTTTCTCAAATTGTGTTTGTTATTGGTTGCATATTCACACAGAGTACATTTTAAATCCTTGGATATCTTGTGCGTAAGCAGATGTGTATGTAAACTGGCTTTATAAATAGTTGCAAAATCACACTCGGCACACTGGAAGTTTTTGAAAGTCTGATGTGTTAACAAATGCATTTTAAAATTGTTTTTACGATGTGTTGAGTAATCACACTGTGTACATTTTAAATCCTTGAAAGTCTTGTGTGTCAACAGATGTATTTTCAAATTAAACTTATAATTTGTTGCAAAATCACACTGAGCACAATTAAAATCTTTGGAAGTCTTGTGTGTCAACAGATGCATTTTCAAATTATATTTATAAATGGTTGCAAAATCACACTGTACACAATGGAAATCCTTTGAAGTTTTTAAATCTGTGGAAGTCTCGTGTGTTAATAAATGTTTTTCAAAGTTAGATTTACAATTAGTTGCATAACTACAGTGTTCACATCCAAAAACTTGTCCTTTAGATCGTAGTAACTCTTCAGAATGTTTCTGGGAGATGCCTTCAACAAACTCACTTTCTTGCTGCACTTCGTTTTTAAATTCCCTTTTCACTGCTTCATTACTACAAACTGCACTGCTTGTAATCTGGCCAAGTTCTTGTTTTATTGTTGAGGAACCATCATGGGCAAGAAAAACATTTTCATTAACGAATGTGTCTATTTTTACTTCCGGTTTGGGTTCAACCCCCTCAGTTTTAGCAATTGCAGCCATGAGCACATAAATTAAAATTTATCAAGTGAAACAAAATCCAACCAATCAAGTCAGCACTGGGAATGGGAACTTGGGTGACATCACAAAATTGCAACGCAATACGCAACGCAGTTTCTGTGGTAAAAACCAAAGATTGCCTCTGGAAAAAAAAATGCGGTGGTTCCATACCAAACATGTCCATGTCCATGTTCACAAACAAGTGTCAACAGTACTGAGAGGTTCCACTCTGTATATACAGGGTGATTCCTATAGTACCTGCTACCGTTTGGGAGCGTGTAGGTGGTGCGTAGGGGAGTATTTTGATATAGGACACTTGGGGTCGGAAATCTAAAATAAGGGTGCCAGAGCCAAATTTACCTTCTGGAATTTCGCGCCTGTAGGTAGGCAACCCAACCGGCCGGCGGTGCACACGGAGCGATCTCAGGCGGCGATGTGTGGCTGACACTTGATCAGAATTTTGTTTAAACCCACGAAATCCCGTCTGCAACGACGCGTATCAAGTGAATAAACACTATGGCACGTTTTACTAACACGGAATGCTAGTACGCGGGTTTGCCTCGAAACGTTCCAACACATCCTCCTCTAAGGCATTTACCAACGGGCGATCGCGATCACGGGCGCTAGTGGGCTGCGAAATAGGAGGAGGTCGGTGTAAACAAACAAACTTTTCGAAATGGGTGCTTAAATGACCCAAGTATCGATGTGCATTACGAATCTGTGTGTAAAGTTAAGCCTCCGTCAGCTTACCTGCAATTGCCCTGTCTCGCACAGTCGGAAGTGAACTTCTTGAAAGACCTGTCTGCAGGGTAACTGACGGTTTGGATACCGCTCAGCGTACGCTCGTCGCGCAGCTCGTGCGTTACCATTTGCCAATCCGTACATGAAGTGCATGTCCGCGTATTCCGTGTTAGTAAAACGTGCCATAGTGTTTATTCACTTGATACGCGTCGTTGCAGACGGGATTTCGTGGGTTTAAACAAAATTCTGATCAAGTGTCAGCCACACATCGCCGCCTGAGATCGCTCCGTGTGCACCGCCGGCCGGTTGGGTTGCCTACCTACAGGCGCGAAATTCCAGAAGGTAAATTTGGCTCTGGCACCCTTATTTTAGATTTCCGACCCCAAGTGTCCTATATCAAAATACTCCCCTACGCACCACCTACACGCTCCCAAACGGTGGCAGGTACTATAGGAATCACCCTGTATGTAATGTACAACTTACGACGATGCACCATTGAACTATAAAAAAAATAGATACTCGTAACTGGAATGGCATCCCCCGTAAACAAACGATACAAGGGCGCCGTGACATGAGAGATAGGTAGAGGTAGGTATACCTAATATCGTGTTGCACTCACGTGGCGTTATGCGTTTTACAAAACAATTGCCAGACAAAGATGATTATACAAACAACGTGCCAAACAAGGATGACGATACCTACCACAGCCTACGTTAGGCGGCATTTTGGTTATCGATGCCGTTCCGGTTACAGAGTATGTATACAGTTCAATTGAGAGTTGGCAACCACGCAATTTTTGGAGGGGGCAGCTGTCTGTGCCTAAAGGGTCCTATTCACATGCGGATATATACGGAGGATTTTGGTAAGTGGATTTATTGCCGAATTTTTGATAAAATAGTAAGAAATACACCTGAAAATGAACTAATTCGTATATCATTAGAAGATGCAAAAAATTTCTTTCGATTGGTTTGATTATAAACCCTCTAAGTTAACATGGGGAACAACTATCTACAAAAAACCTTTTACCCATGTTAATTCCTTATGTTCGGTTTGGAAATATTCACCCGGTATGTATTGTATGTTTGTATCATGTTTGTACATATTGATTTATTAGCCGTTACAAGTACTTTTTCGATTTTGTTAATTTGAAATGGCATCTGAATGGAGCAAGGAACAAGTGTCCTTTTTGATTAATTTATACTAGGATAGAAACCTTCTCTATAACGTTAAAATGCCAATGTACACGAATCACAAAAACAGTTTGAACAAATTGAAGTGTCTAGTGTGACCACCTAAGCTGTTTTTTGGCGATGCAGCGGGTTCGTCTAGCGGTTTAAAGCGTTACGAAGCGTTTTCATTCGTGACGTCATACATTTGGCAGTCGCCGGAATGCACCGATTGGATTCGAACAACTTTGTAAATATGTAGAGAAATCCGCTGCATGAATTTAATTCTGGTATGGTAACGTGGTTGATTTGTTAAAACACGGGGGTGTTTTTTACATTCTTCAGCTGGTCGTTATATTTCTAATGCAGAAACAAAAGTTTCAAATCGCCATCCCATTCAGTTGGTTGAAAACGCTGCATTCATGACGTCATTGATTTTCCGCGAGAAGGCGCTGGTTTAACAACGCTTTTCAACCGCTCGTCGCTAAAAAACAGCACTAGTTTGAAACTTTCTTCAAACTATAGAATTGTGACGTCATTAGTCCAGTTTGATCAATAGTATATTGAAATACAAGTGTTACAATGCGACCTATTGTAATACGACTATCTTGTGGCACGAGTGGCGTAGCGAAGCGGAGCCACGAGAGTCCACAAGATAGGAGTATCACAATAAAGCATTGTAACATCTTTTAGTACATTTATTTTTTAGAATAATTTTTGTATTTTACTTTTATTATTATTATAATTTATTATAGTTGTAAATTTAATGTGTTTTTCATACTATTTTTTCTATTTCGGGGCTTTAATTTAATTAAAAAGTAATTATGAAAAACTACACTTTAGAATTAATATGTCTTAAGTTCGCAACACCATTTACGTTGACAAATTTTAAGTTGGCAGCGTAGATAAACACAACACTGACATTTGGAAACTTTAAATTCCGTGAATGTGTAATTTTTTATTCGTAGATAAATTTATTTATGGTGGATGTGTAAACTGCTGATTTGGAATGTATTAAGTTCTTCGTGTACCAAAAATCAAGGAAAACACATAAATTTTACGTAATTTGATTTCACATCGGATGATTTGAAGTTGACGTCTTGGCGAACTGCCAACTTAGAGATGAAAAGTTACCAAAAACAATGTTACAATGGAACTCATTGAAACACTGTTTTTGCCCAAAACAGTTGCACAAAATTCTCATTGTAACACCGAAATAGAAAAACCATTTTGTCAAACTGTTTGATAATGTGACATGGGCATTAGAGAGCCTTTTTAAGAAATGTCTTCCTGGCTATTGCTATTGATTTTGATAGTATTAGCACAGATATACGTTTGCGTATCTGTGGTTTTCGTATTAGCATTAAACAGGTGTGTATAATCAATGATACTATAGTTCCTCTAGATATTATAATTAATTTGATATAAATAAACATTTAAATAAATCACTTAGGTATACCAATTCCCGTTACACTGTTACTGTACTTTTAGTAAAACCAATAGAGCGTTTGTTATTAAAGTGAAGTATTTTCTCGTTTTTTAATCGGAAAAAACGAGAGGTAAATGTTCTAATTATTGAAATAGTTTAATTTCCTGAAGGACAAACCAATTCACATTTAAATAAATAATGCGAGAAGCCCGAGCCGGCTCTGTTAAATTGATGGTGAGTGGTGACATCAGTATAAAAAGTTCCCATTGCAAATTTGTATGCATTACTCATACAAGAAGGATGTATTTATTATACAGGTGCGCGGTCATCAACCCCTGTAACCAAAACATTGATCCATTTTTGCAATGATTCCTGAAACTGAAATAACGCAAAATAAACGAGAAAAATGGACAGCACAATAGAATTAAGAAGTGATTGAAATGTTCAGGGGGTGCACATAAATAATAGAAATATGCAGAGAAAAGAAGAAATTTTTGAACAAAAGCGATTGGAACTGGAATCATGCCTTCAACGAATGGAAGCTCGACTTGCAACCATGGTACCAATAGGGCACACAGCGGACGTTTTGGAAGCACAATTGAGAGAGCAGAAAGCATTACACGCCGAACTTCATCAGTTTAAAGGACAAGTCGAGGCCTTCCAGCAATTAATGCAACGAATCATTACTAGCCGTCAAAATGAAGATACTGGTCGTTTTAAAAAAGTATTTTTCAAAAAGTGTACATGCACTAAATTAACTCGCATTTCATTGCAGGTAGTCGAATATGTAAATCAACATTATTCTCGTATAGATGCCTGTGTTATAAATAGAGGAAAAATGCTTCACTCTGCTTTAAGCTCGTTACAGAACTTGGATCGGTCGCTGGACAATTTCTTGGGGTGGCTTAGCGAAGCGGAGTCCGTCTTAGAAAGTTTAGAATCTGAACCCGAAACGCGTCGGGGTGCTCAACAACTTAAGGAGTTGCAAAATGATATTGAATGTCAGTCGAACACGCACGCGGCATTGCATTCGTCCAGTATGGCATTGCTTGGATCTCTTACTCCAGAAGATGCGTTAATGTTGCAATTGCGTGGCGATGAAATGGAACGAAGGTGGCAGGTAAAATGATTTTTGATCCTTGGTGTGTTAGATTAAATAGATGCGTTCAGTTTGCCTATACATTTGTGTCAACATTTGTCTTAGTGGAACGTTAAGCGAAACATATCATTTGTTAATATAACTAACGGCCAGTTGCACAAAAAAATAATCCAGTATTATTGTTTAATCCGGTATTAAGACATTTGATTGGCTTTATATTGCAGTAGGCAGCCAATCAAATGTCAACATTCTTGTTTATTAAACTCAGATTTGGCAAATAATGTAGGATTTTGATTATAATTCTCTTTCCCGCAACCGGCCGTAATAGTTTCAGTGAACTCTTGACAACGGGTGGCCAGGAGGTCGACCTCGAAGCTCATGGGTGATAAATGAATTAATAAGAAAAAGGTGAACATATATAAAGGTAAATCATATTTTTGACATAAACATGTTTCTGAAAAGATTTGGCAGCATTGATTTGCAAAGAAAAGTTCTCATAGAAAAAATTAAAATTGAAATTGAAAATTGAGACTCAAAATTTTTATTTCTAAAGGCAAAAAAATTTTTTGAGTCTCAATTTTTAATTTTTTCTATATTCAACTCAAAAATATATATGGAGTACTTCATCAAAAAAGTTCCCATCTCTAAAGGAAGGTATAGGTAGCTTTGTAGGTACTTGACATCATTTTTTGGTTCTACCTGTCTTTGCGAGTCTGTATTCTCTACTATGAATCTTTGAGTGAAGGAATTAGGTAGAGGCGCAACCTCCAAAGACAAATCGTTTCACTTTTATCTCTTACTAAGCATTTCCCTTCTCTATCCAACACACTGGAACGCCGACTAGAAACTTGCCGTCGGGATCTGAGATACCATAAGCGCTGTATAAATCTCATATCCTACGCTCGCGACGATTTCTAGTATAGGCGTTGCGCCTCTATCTGGATTTCTTCACTCAACGTATGAATACTGTAAAAACCAAACGTCGTTCCCGTTTAATAGAACATCACAGTTACATCTTACACACCCCTCAATATGAAAATCGTTTGGAGAAGCAGTGCAAAACATCAACCCAAAAATTAACAAAAAATTTTCAAATGTTAATATAGGGACGTTATTATTATTATTGAATTTGAAACCATTGTTTAATAAATACTTTCTTACATCTTATTACCCAGTGTCCAGCTTACAGTCAATCACAAGATTTTTTTATGAACACAAGTAGACCTCACAAGTCAACAGTTTGGGCATCCCTGATATACAAGGTGTATTATTATTATTATTATTCTCAAAGGTGGTCTCCTATTAGGTCCTTGTATCGCGACCTTAAGGTATATTGTACTTTTTATTTTTGATCCTACTACCATAGGATGTCAATATCTTCAAAGAAATCTAAAATCCTCCTGGGAGTAGCGTCTTGTAGCATTCCCTGGTGCATCTTCTCTCCTCAAGAGTCAAGGAACCTATGCCTTGACCTTCACGGTGCTTCCCAGTCACAGTATATGCATGAAGAATTTTTGTAGAGAATTTAATAACCTGTCATATAATGTAATGTTCCATATAAAAAATTATTAATTAGTTAAATTTTTGTTATCTGAAAAATGCGATGTTGTTTTGTTTTAATAATAATAATAATAATATATATTTTATGTTATTTATGAGTTTATGACTATTTTCTGGATCATTTACTAAGAAAGTGTGGTACATATGTTTTTTCAGAACAACGAGTAAGTAACTTTAGCGCATTTTCCATACTTCCCAAAAGTCCGCGCATGGGCAAATTTGATTTTTAGTCAAGGGATAAACACCTGGGGAAGTAATTGTAAAGCAAGTCGTAAGGAAGGACGGATAAGTCCCGGAAAGCCTGGGAAGTAAGGTGAAGTTCGGCTCTTTCACCAAAAGTCACTGTAGGGTCCGTCTGATGATGTCCAATTGCCTAACCTGTGGTCTGGTTGATTCGTTCTCAGCAACATCGTCAGCCACAACCGCGATATTCTCGACTGAACGACCAGTCCGGTGGCGGCCAAGCGCCGGAATGTTTGCCCAGTTGGCGAAATTCAAAATGGCGGACCAAATATGGGGTCGTATTGTGCGAAAAATGGGAATTTTTGAAGAAATCATTTGAAATCTTGTACTAGGGGGGGTTTTGGACTCGCTGATTACAAATCCGCTGTCAGAATTGCAACATTTAAAATGGCGAACCCAATATGGCGTCGTATTATGCCAAAAATTTGCCTTGCTTCTTCTCCACACTTTTATTATAGTACTGACAACGTACGTTTTAGCATTCCTAGGCTGACTGCCCGTAGAAAAATTCGCGTAAACAAATGGACACACTCTTGAACCGTCACGAAGCTAGCAGCAGCAGCCTTTACTCGTCGTTTCCATAGAATAAAATCCTTCTTCATGGAATTTCAAATAAATCGTCAATCACAACAGAATGCACTAAACGTCCCCACTTACGCCGACATGAAACGCACAATTCTTCGTTACACCGTATCTCCTCGTTAATCAGCACAAGATGTGCTTAAGTTTTGTCTGGTCAGCACTCCTTATTGCAAACTAATAAATAAAAACCTTTTATGAAGTACGCAGACGTGTCTTAATTAAGCCATATTATCTAAATTGAACAATTAGAAAGCGATAAAATTTAAACAAAAAAATTACGCACTAGAAAATTTCTAAAAGGGAAAACAAACACTGAATTATTAATTGAAAGGAAACGAACTAACTTTGTGTTTATTTCGTAAATAATCTCCCAGATGTATTTAATAAATTAAAATAATCTCATATACAGGATGTCCTTATTCATCATCATTATTTTTGATGTTTATATACATATACAATATACAGGGTGAGTTTTTTTTCATTTTAAGCATTGGGATCTCGGAAACCATAAGACATACGGATTCGGTTAAATGAGGAAAGAGTTGTCGTTTTAAGAGCTTATTTAAGATATGCTTTTGTTTTTGGAAAAAATCCACAGTTCACTAGATTAGAGCGAAATGGTATTTAGTGATTTTTCATTTAACTGTTGTAGAATCGTTATTATTAGAGATACAACAAAATGACACGAATAAAAGTTTTAGACATTTTAACGCTTAACATGATGAACATACTAATTTATTTTTAGATCTTACAATTTCTGAGTTATAATACAAACTTTAATTTTTTTAAATGGCAGTCATAGTTGGCTTTGACATTTTTAAAAAGGACAAATGTTTCTCTTTATAACGATATAAGGCTTAGCTAAATGTACTTTAATAAATAAACGCCCTGCAGTAATTTTCGTATTATTGAGAGGTAAGTAAACAGAGTTGGCCATGGAAAACAATATTTAGTGAGATAGGTACCTTTCATTTACGACGAAAATTGGACAGGCTAATGATACCTTCATTTTCTACCAAATGAATTTCAAGATATGTAGGATGGGTTAGATTTGGAAACACGACGTAATTTACACTGGTTTCAACACAACGGTGCCCCGCCGCCCAACTAACTTCAAGTTAAATATTATAATAGACAGTAATGAAGAGAACAAAAATGTTTCCCATTGCAAAATCTGTTTTTACTACTCTTAATAATACAAACAGTTCTGTATCATGTTTATTTGTCAAAGTAAGTACAATGAACCTTATATCATTGTAAACAAAAAAAAATGCACTTTTTAAAAATGTCACAGCCAACTATGATTACATTTAAAAAAATGTAAGTTTGCGTTATAACTCGAAATTTATAAAAGAAGAATAAATATTATAGATCGTCTCACGTAAAAAAGGAATCGGGAGAAAGTAGTGTAACCTCCCACTAAGTTTATTGTTCATCTCAATGTCGCTGTGCTTTGAATAAAGATAGGTATAAAACTGCTAATTATTCGGGCCGTTGGAACCACCCTCTAGACTCCCAATGAATGAGCGAAGTGTTTATAACCGCATAGATGTTTATAATTTGAATGGCTTATACAGTTGACCATTCAAATTATAAACATCTATGCGGTTATAAACACTTCGCTCATTCATTGGGAGTCTAGAGGGTGGTTCCAACGGCCCGAATAATTACCAGTTTTATACCTATCTTTATTCAAAGCACAGCGACATTGAGATGAACAATAAACTTAGTGGGAGGTTACACTACTTTCTCCCGATTCCTTTTTTACGTGAGACGATCTTATAATAAATGTATCTTATTAAGCGGAAAAAAATCTACAATTTTTGTTCTTTGCATATTTCTGTATTTCCAATACTAACGATTCTACAACAGTTAAATGAAAAATCACTAAATCTGTTTTTCGCTCATATCTAATAAACTGTGGATTTTTTTTTCAAAAAACAAAAGCATATCTTAAATAAGCTCTTAAAACTACAACTCTTTCCTCATTTAACCGAATCTCTGTCTTACGGTTTGTTCTTGTACAAACCCATGACTTTTTTTGAAAATTTCGATTTAAATTGTCGTCTCTAGATGTGCACATACTCGCGTTCGATGTGACACGATTGATTATTCGAGTTAAACTACCTACAATTTCCGTTGATTTATATATTAATGAGAATGTTTGCTAATATCAATGTTTGAGGCCCCAAAAGAGACCTCACTAAACCTCTGCACTTACTTTATCTCGTAGCTTACGGTTAGTTACTTTTCATCGACTTGATGGCGTCCCTACATGGCCCTGGATTTCTAAAATAGTCGCTATAGTAGTATTCTTAGAATGTATTCTCGTGAACATGATATAAGCGGTTACTATACATAATATTGAAGAAGCAAATCTAAAGTTGATTGATTACGTTTTTTGTATCCGTATAGTGCCAGACGTTAGAATTGCTATATCGCAATATTTTATGAGCCGCGCTATTCACTACCCCTCTTATTTGTTTGTTTGTGTTATTATTTATTACAGATAGACAGAACGCGCCCTTCTGAGCTCAAAAGGCTGCGACCTGAACCTAAATGTGTCCAATATAATTTTATATGTGACAGGATGGTCTATCCGATCGCATATTGAAACTTCCTATACCGCTTCCGGGTTAACCGGAAATCTATGCAACTGCCATATCACACAGAAAAGGCCCACATCAAATTGTTCAATGTTTCGTTTCAAATATTTACTTTTGCGTGATACAACTTCCCCGTGTAATATAACAGACACCACACATCCTGCATGCACACGGCATGCTAGATTTCATAAGTTTTCTAAATATTTAATCGTGAAACTCTTCATTTTTGTGTATACAGTGCTATTTATTAAGAAGTAGACATAGGGATTTACGTGTATTGTTTTTAAATGACAGAATCTTCTGAAGAGCGCCTAATTTTATGCAACCAAAATAATTTCCTAAAACAAATAAAGATCTATCTGTCATATTAATTAATTTGAATATTGTTGCTTTGGCTTTCGTATTTTTATTTTCTTCCGTGTGCGATGTAGTCAACTGAAGAAAAATTGATATTGTCAATTGGTATAGTGCCAGTAACAGTTTAATGAGTGTAAGATATGTCATTTCTGCGAAACCAAAGCAACAATATTCAAATTAATTAATATGATAGACATATCTTTATTTGTTTTCAGCAGTTATTTTGGATGCATTAAATTAGGCGCCCTTCATAAGATTTTGTAATTTAAAAGTAGACGTAGCGAAAAACAATACACGTAAATCCCTATGTCTACTTCTTAATAAATAGCATTATATAAACCATATTCATATTTTATGTTGTACAGAAAATTGATTGCTCTTTTCAGATATCTCAAAAAATTATAGGCATTGCATTCGAAAAACAAAAGGTGCATTGATTTCTGGTTAAACCGAAAGTTTCAATATGCAATCGGATAGATCGTAATGTCATATAAAATTATATTTGACAAATTTTTCATATCTCGCCAAATAAAAGATATATTGAGGTGACCCTTTTATCTCGCACGCGCTCTATACTACAGCCTCCTATTTGTAATATTTTGAGATCACTTGATTGTGACATCAAGTATTGTTCATGTTTTATTCCTGTCAATTACTTTATTTCTTTAGCTTATCAAGATCGGAACAAGGATCACTTAGTCTGCCTTGTTTCCCCTTCCGGTAAGTATTCCCTCTTCTCTTCTCTTTTGAAATTGACTAAAGACTCATATATCTGGTTTACTATTACATTTTTTTGTGCTTTGTTTTTGCTAGTGTATGAAAACCCCCTTATTCAACTCCTACCTCTACTTTGCGTGAGTTTACCGTGTCTTATCTCAAGGTAATTTTGTTACATTTGCTCAAAGTGAACATAACAAATTCTAATACAAAACATTGATCTCAAAGTCAAATACTTTGATCGACATTGCGTTTAATCTTTAATAAACAACCACATTTAACGTTAACAATAATTGAAATGCACATACAGGGTGACCTGTCATTACTGGAGGTGTTGAACAGTGGTTCCACTAAGGTTATTATCTATGAAACTCAGTTTAGATTGAAAATTTAAGAAAATGACGTCATATGCAAAGCCGACATAAATTATGAAGTGAACTGAGCATCTTCTTTAAATGTTAGTATCTTGCATTTTGATCCTGTAAATTATAATTTGCTATCTTTTTGATAGGCTTTGAATGCGCGTACTTTAGATTTGCGTAATCGTTTGGAGCATAACGCAGATTACTGGAACACGTTATTGTTATCTTTGCGAGAACTGACCGAGTGGGTAATTCGTAAGGACACGGAGCTCGGACTGGCCTCGTGTCAGGACGATCACAGAGCATTTCGGCAACAGCTCGAAGACAAACGGCCACTCGTTGAGTCTAGCCTGCGAAACGCCAGGCAGTATGTGTCCGGCGAAACATCGGGCGAATTGGCGCGTAACTTAAGAAGAGAACTGATAAAATTGTCAGACAAATGGAATGCTCTTATCGATAGGTCTGATCAGTTGTCTGCACGTTTTGAGCAAAGTGCGGCCGTAAGTCCCCACTTTACCTTTTCTTTATCAATTCGAATGGACATTTTTAGAAAATGAAACAGCTGGAGGCGAATCTCAAGGAATCTGCTACTGCTGTGGCGAGTCTAGAAAGAATGACACTAACGTGGAGCACCCCGAGAAGCGCCGCGGAAGCCAGAGACTTGTTGTCAAATTTGAGAGTATTGGAACAAAAGTTACCACCACTACAACGTGCCCTGGAAGAAGCTAGGCTACACGCCGCCATGCTTGGTTCACTTCTGCCTACTTCTCAGGCGGCTCAACTCGAAGATTGTACTGCCAGGTGTAGAGCGCTTCAAGCGGCGATACGCGAGAGGCGTGAGCAACTGCAAAGTAGTAGTCAAGGTAAATTGATTACTGTGACTTTATACTGTAAACACAAATGTAATGGTACCAGGTCCCAGGTTGTAAGTGTAGACTTTTTTAGGGGAATTATCACCAGGCCCATCAAGTGTCCAACCGCCATGGGAGCGAGCAACGACGCCTAACAAAGTGCCATATTACATAAATCACAGCTTGGAAACAACACACTGGGATCACCCGCACATGTTGGAATTGGCCGTGTGCCTATTGCAACTGAACGAAGTACGTTTCTCCGCTTATCGAACCGCGTTGAAACTGCGCGCCATACAAAAGAAGCTGTGCTTAGATCTAGTTAATTTATCGGCAGTTTCGGAGGCCTTCGATATCCACGGCTTACGAGGGCAGAACGATAAATTGCTGGACGTTGCCGATATGGTGCTCGTGCTTAGGGCCATATACAGTGGTGCTCTTGCGCAGAATCCGAGTTTAATCGACCTACCGTTATGTGTCGACTTAGCGCTTAATTGGTTACTTAACGTTTATGATAGTCAACGAACTGGCCAGATACGTGTACTTAGTTTTAAGGTGAGTATTGCACGGCGTTTGTAGTGCAGCAAGGAGAGCCCAATTTAAATTTTCGTAAGTGTAATCTGTTTCTTATGGACGATCTCAAGTTGGATTTCTTCATTTTTGATTCATGCTGTTTTTTGGGGTTATTTACATATTTAGGAGGTGGAGTGAAAAAGATATTTATATGGCAAACGGTCACTAAACCACCCACATAAACACCTGTCCAACTAGTGCTACTACGAAAAGTCGCGATACATTTCAAGAAATACACCAGCCTTGTCCACTCCACAATTCCAAAGAATTATTTAACAAAATAGAATAGAATAGAACATGAGAACTATTACCGTGGTCTTAATTTGGGCTTGATTAATCACAAAGTTAATCATTTACAGATGAAACAAAATGTATTCGACAAAAATCAATCAATAAAGCTGAAATAAAAATAGGCACTCAGGGTCAGAGGACAAATACCACGCAACAAGCGATCGATTGAACAAATTAATTAAAAGAAATCTTAATTATCTTAAAGAGTTCATTGCCACACAAAACACCAAGTCATATTGCTTCGAAAACTTCACTTCTATACTTTTGCTTTATACTGGGACGGGACTGATTTTTATGTAATTTTAGACGTAATGGCCCTTTTTTGGTGTCTGAAACATTCACTTTAACAGGTAACTTCATAAACCTTATAGAAAGGCTTTCACTTATGCGATTACTGCAAAAACGAGAAAGATGACTCTTAGAACACTAACTAACCTTCTTCTATAACAAACTTTACTATCAACAAGACTGACTGTCTTTCAAAAACAATCTCAATTACGACAGACTGCCATACACCAAAAATACCCACCAAAAAGCAATGTTTCCTGTCTGCTTCGTCTTTATAAAACGTTCCCTTCTATCACTTTCGATCCTTCTTCTGATCAAATTAATGCGTTGTCGAACGACAAACTCACACCCGTGTTCTCTTTCCGCACACACTTGGTTATCTTGAAACTTAATTCACTTTAACGCAGCGATAAGGACGGAGATAAACTTTTAAATAACACAACGCAATTATTTAAATGTCTCTTCATGTGATTCAACTCTACACTAAAATAAACAAAGCGAATATAATATAAATAAAATCACAGATCACAGATCTAATAATTATGATACAAAATAAATATTGACCACGAATTCGAATAATATGATTTATTTATTTATTTATCGTCTCTTGTTCTGGGCCCTCAACAGACTTGCGCCCAATTACAGAGTAACCCGCATAATGCTTTTTAGAGGTGCCTCTGCATAAGTTGTTCTATGCTACTCCAGTATTTACCTTACGAATTAGGAAAACATAATTCAGAGTAGCCGGTAGAATGCTCGAAACTGATCTAAGGTAATTCCCATCTCTGCCAGATGAAAAATTCACCTCGACCCAGGTTCGACCACCCGACCTCCGGATTTATAGTCCAACGCTCTACCACTGAACCATAAAGCCGATCAAATCTGTGTTCAATCTGAAATAACAACCACCTTTAAACTTGAAAATTGAAATTCACATTATACAGGGTGACTTGGGAAGGCAAAGAAAACGTCCGCACGACATAGTATACTCAACAATAGTTAGGGGTGAATTACTAATAATAATTTGGTTTATTTATTAAATAATTTTTGCATCCGCCAGGAATCGAACCTGGGTCGCCCCGAGCGCCCATTTTCTACTAATCATATTCTACTGACATTTGGCATTATTGTTGGCCACATAGCCCTATTGGCTAAACAGAAAACACCCCTACTCTTTAGTACCCAAATCTCCGTCGCACTAAAGGCAACTTTCGTATTTTGTGCTTAGTTGTTAGTTATGTCATTCAAATAAAAATCAACGAATTGAGGCTGTAGAACACGTAAGGACTAAGAATACATTTTGGATGAGAATGATATTCTTGTAGAAGTAGACCTACGTCTACTTTTAAATGACAAAAACTCTTCTGAAGGGCACCTAATTTGATGCAACCAATATAACTTAAAACAAATAAGATAATAGCCACTTACGCTCCTTAAACTGTTACCGGCACTATACCATCTGACTGTCATATTAACTGACTGTCATATTAATTAATTTGAATATTATTGCTTTGGCTTCCGCACTTTTATTTTCGTTCGTGTGCCATGTATTGAACTGATGAAAAAGTTGATTTCGTCAATTGGCATAGTGCCGGTAACGGTTTAAGGAGCGTAAGTGGCTTATTATCTGTGTAGATCACTTTAAAATTAGTGCTTGTTTAAATGCGATCCACTTAAAACAGCGTAAACAATATGAATCTGAACATGTTAATTTTTGTGGAAGAGAATCCCATAAGAAACTTAAGGGAAATAGCGGCCGAATTTAATATCTCTTTATACAAGCTAAAAGCATACTATTTTTACTGCCGCTTTTATTAAAATCCAAAATGCAGAATGCGTGCGTATGTTATTTTGGTTGCATAAAATTAGGCGCCCTTCAGAAGAGTTTTTGTCATTTTAAAAGTAGACATAGGATATCCCTACGTCTACTTCTCAAAGTGAAAAAAATGTAGTCGGTCGTCAGTGACATGAAGAATAGCAATGGCACAACTATGCCCGGTCCTAAACCCAGATTGGTTTTGTAGGAAAGCGTTGTTAGTATTTAAATATGCGCGTAGCTGTGAATCAATGACTTTCTAGAATTTTTGACATTACTGGGAGAATACTGATGGGACGAAGATCTTTTGTATTCTTTTGGGTTGGATATTTTTGCAATTGGTATGACAAGTGCTTTTTTCCACACAGTTGGAAATGTGTTAGTATTGAGACATTCGTTAATTATATGCGTTAGATAAGGAAGAATTGTAGGACAAAACGATTTCACAATAGTAATGTTTATACCATCCCAACCAGTGCTATTCGTTTTTATCGAGTTAAGCAGCTTCGCAGCCATGTTGGTATCAATCGATGAAAATTCAAAATTTACGTACTTATAATCGGCGCTAAAAAGAGGCTCAATTTTAGATAAATCGCTTTGAACAGCAGGAATACTATTTACAAAGTAATCATTAATTTTGTAGGAAAGGAGGTATGTCGTTTATATATGGAGATATATGGAAATTATTGAATCGCCACTCATTTATCGCATATAGATTCTTATCTGAAGAGCTTTGATTAGCGCAATCCCGCTCCTGCAAGATAGGTAACCCACCTCTGGTTTCGGGGATTCGAGCCTACAGTTGAATGTCGAAGACAATCATGGAATTAGGTGTCGTAGCTCAATTTTGACTACAGTTTTTACCACCTCCGGGACGCGTATTGCCAATGTATTGTACAGCACAGAGCGGTCAATGTTCTGCAGTGCTCAATGCTTTGGCGATGGTATACGCAATAGGTAGTCTGCCAATCCGTCGTTCGCTACAGATCACACTATAATGACGTTACTTAATGTGTACAGTATTTTGTAGTGGATGCGAATGTGTGTCTAAACTCCGTTTCGTTGTCGGCTCCAACCATATATCTCTATCGTTCATTATACATAATGTAAAACTTGTTTAGGCATTAAATCAAAAATATAGTGACCTAACATTTTATTTATTTTTATGATTTTAGTGTTTTAGTCAATTTGTACCTTGATTATTTTTATTTCAGTACATCAAATAATTTAAAAAAAAACTGCTCGAACACGACAATATTTAATTTTAATTTGTTTCATTTTTATTTATTCTAATATACAAATTTACTCTTTTAAAAATAAAATCTAATGTAATTTGGCGTTCATTTTGTGAAATATTTAAACTAATATTATGTTTGCGTTTAACACGCTCCTTACTGGAAGGCCTTCCAGCGTGCACTCTACCACTTGATGGTAAACCTCTAGATTTACGGCGGGATAACGATGTTGGCTGAACTTTAATTTTTCGTTCTTCCGCAAAGACGAGACTTTGTTTCAATAAAACTAATTAGCTGACTGAGCCCGCTAATAGAATGGCGTCACCTCGGGTGATTGCGGTGCTGCAACATATTGTGCATTTCAGAGTAATGTCATTATAATGTGATCTGTAGCGAACGATGAATTGGCAGACTACCTATTGCGTATACCATCGCCAAAGCATTGAGCACTGCAGAAAATGGACCGCTCTGTTCTGTACAATACATTGGCAATACGCCTCCGGGACTGCTTCATTCACGAACTTTGTCAAACGAATCGGTAATTTCCACATATTAAAATGATAGTAAAATGAAAATAAAAATAAAATGATCAAAATTTATATGACTATACCTTCTCGGACAAGACCAAGTAATCAACACATAAACATAAATTAAGCAAATATTACAACAAAAACGTAAACCATTACAAACAAAAGGATAACGGATTACACATGTCATTTTGCATTGCAGTTAAATCAAGTAAATTTCAATAACAAGGATTGAAACACACAAAAATATAAAATGTGGCATACCAAACACAAATATGATATAAAGAAATGCAAAAATTACTACTTGCATTAAATAACAACAAACATTTATGGAGCGACGCGTTCACGACCGCCGTTCAAGACAAGATGCCCAAACCTAACCAACGTTCGTGCTCTCCAGATGGCGCACATCGCTTTCCCCTCCTAAAAATTGAGTGTTGCCAACTCTCAAAAAGTGTGCATCTTCGTAGGTTGTATATACAGGGTGGAACCTCTCAGTCCTAAGTACCTACAATCTACTCCAAAATTTTTTTAAAATACCCCAAATTTAGTCAAAATATACATTGTCCTGGGATCTCCATAACTGCTGGCGTTTGCCAATTGTTCAAGTTTTCTTCTGTTTTCAGGTAGGATTGACGATATTAACAAGAGGCCATTTAGAAGATAAGTATCGTTATGCTTTTCGTTTGATTGCCGATCCGCAACAGCGAGCTGATCAAAGGAAGTTAGGACTGCTACTGCATGATATTTTACAAGTACCAAGGCAGCTAGGAGAAGTGGCAGCTTTTGGTGGTTCAAATATCGAGCCCAGTGTGAGAAGTTGTTTGGGAGATCGCGATGATCTAGAGGCGACTCACTTTCTTGCGTGGTTAAAACAAGAACCGCAATCGCTTGTTTGGTTGCCAGTATTACACCGTCTTGCAGCCGCCGAGTCCGCGAAACACCAAGCTAAATGCAATTCGTGTAAGCAGTACCCTATCATAGGCCTTCGATATCGTTGCTTAAAATGCTTCAACTTCGATATGTGTCAAGTTTGCTTCTTCGCTGGCCGCCTCACAAAAGGTCACAAACTCTCCCACCCTATGCACGAGTATTGCGCTGCCACTACCTCTGTTGAAGATGTTCGCGATTTCACCAAAGCCTTGCGAAATAAATTTAAAAGTAAACGATATTTTTTAAAACATCCGAGAATGGGTTACCTTCCTGTTCGGTCCGTTCTAGAGGGCGATGAATTGGAAAGTCCCATTGCTTCTCCTCAGCATAGCGATATGCACTCTCGTTTGGAAATTTATGCAAACCGACTCGCTGAAGTGGAATTACGAGCTGCCTCTCCGGAAGATGAACATCAGTTAATAGCGGATTACTGTCAGTCATTGGAAGGGGCACCTGCCAGTCCAGGTCAGCTTATGTTGGTAATCGACGAAGAACAACGTGCCGAATTACAAGATATGATATGCGAGTTGGAAGCAGAAAATACTGCTCTACGACAGGAATATGAGCAGCTGCAACGAGGTAGCGTTCCTCACCCTCCGCCTGCACAGCATGACGTCCTGGCAGAAGCTCGACTGTTGCGGCAACACAAAGGTCGTCTGGAAGCTCGCATGCAAATATTAGAAGATCACAACAGGCAGCTAGAAGCGCAGCTTCAACGACTAAGGCAACTTTTGGACGAGCCGCCTACAGCTACACTGCAAACGCGTTCAGTTACTGCGTCACAGTTAAATCAAGACACCCCTGGGCGAGTCTCCCAACCTCCTCCACCCACTGATCATCGCTAAAGATTGGTCTAGCTTAATGTACCTAAAGTATTATTTGTACATTTCGGCGTAATTGCGATAGTTCTGCGACTAACTCTTCCCTAACGTATCAGCTTCATTGTACCAATTATGCCTTGCAATGTGCATATAGTACTAGAAATCATATCATTGTAACGAGTAAGTATTATTGATTTGTATCTACCTATTGTTAAATTTTGCTGGTTGTACATTTTGTGAAAATGGAAAAAATATTTATTTCTTTAAATTCACAATGGTAAGGTTGTTGAAAATGACAATCGAAAGAGACAAAAAACATATACAAACTTGAAATCTTTTCCAAAAAAACAATATGTTTTAGTTTAGCTTCCAGACCAAAACACATATCTTGTCAAAAAGTGTGTAACATATCAGAATGTGGCAACCTGTCAAATGTGTTTTACTTATCACCGAAATCCATTGTGAATTTGTGCTGTTAGAAACGTATAATTAATCCTTGACTGTTGAAATGTAATATAATTTTCGATCGTGTTTATGATCGAAGAGTATAAACTGATGTGGAACCACAATCATTTATCTTGTAGTATTGTTGTACCTTTTTAATATTTATAAGTACTTTTACCAGTAGTGAAACTGATCTGCCGTATACAAACAAAGAATTTATGCTCTCCTTTTCAGTTCACATTAAATTGCTGAAGTGTTCTTTCATTGTGTTATTGATAACCCAAATTATTTTCAGCACAATTTCTTCGGATTTTTCGTTCGAATGCTTTCCACGATATGGTATTGATGCAACCTTCTCATGTACTAGGTGTTGAATAACTATTTGTCTTTCTTTTCTTTTACTTCATCCAAAATGAATTTTATTTTTAATCCAAACGATTCGGTTATGTGTCAATTGATGCTGAAACCGTGATGTACCTAATTTTGGATAGTACCTATGTATACCGCGCAGGCAGGCGGTTTTTGCTAATGCTAATTGTGACGTTTCCTTACATAAGGTAGGTGCCAAACCCAATTATAATTGAGTTTGTTTGATTGAAATTTATTATTAAAAATTAATCGTCTTGAGGCAACATAACAGCCGATTATAAAATTTTATTCTTATTGCGTTAACATTTGGTCCTTCAAGCTGGATTATTTGATTTTTTTGGAAAAAGAAAGCACAGGATGTCATAGGGAGATTGTTACGTGCTATTTTAAGACTAAAGCGCTTTATAACGATATATTCAAAACTTATGTTTCTGTTGAAAATGGGCCTCAAGTTGTAAGAAATTACTTAAACTACTCAAAACCTCTATCGCGGTTTTTGACAGAAATTTGAAAAATTGGTCTATCTTGTACGATTTATTTCAAAAATTTATTCACAAAAACACCTCTAGCCAATATTGAAAAATTTCAATACATGTTGTCTTTTGTCGATAATATGCTTATCAAAAGGCATTCCTTTAGTTTAACTGAAGACCTAAGGACCCTAAATCGTTTAAACGCGGTGTCTTTCGGAATATCATCGTCCCCTCTTATACCTTGCTACGAGAACGAATTGACAAAGAGATGAGAAACTAAATTTATCTGTTGGCATCCAACATAATTAAAAATCACATTTATATTGACGGTATTCTCGCAGGTAGCAGTTCGCTCGCTAACGGCCCTTGAAGTTCAAAAACAATTAATGTGCCCCTAAGGATCATAGACAGCTGTCAGTTTTGTTTGACAAAAAAAAACCTAGGGGCGTCGTCTAGTATATAAACAGTCGCAGGTAACCCCGCCCACTGCAAAACATCTTTTTGTTCGCATGGACTAGATAGAGATGAAAATATAATAGAAGAATATGTGTACACTGCACAAGCGACCAGTTTTGCAGTGGGCGGCTACCTATAGAAGAGCAATAAGGTGTTGGGTCTTCAGCATTGGAATCTACATAAAGACTCATTTTCGTATAAATGGTAAACTCTGCACGAAACGGAACATATTGTCCAACATTGCCAGAATGTTTGACCCCCTTGCGTTTTTAAGTCCAATTACCTACGCTACTAGCAAATTATTTAATGTAACGCCTCGGGGAGTCTAGAACCAAATGGGATGAAGTGCCAGCAAATATCATTTGTTAGTTTGGAGGCAGCTAAAACAAGAACTGCAATTATTATCTAATCTTAATATTCCTCGATGTATTATTCCCGCAGATATACGATCTTCATGGATGTTGTGACGCGTCTACTGTCGGATTCGCCGCTGTCGTTGTCTTGAGATTAGAATCCACGCGTAACACAATTGATAAGGTTGGTGCCACGTGCCAAATGTAAAGTCGCTTTCTTAAAAACCCTCGATCCCCGCTTAGAATTATGCAGACCTGTACCGTTGGCGAATTTTATTACATTTACTTACTATACTTCAATGATTCAGGTCAATACTACACTTTCAGTACATAACCATTCTGATATACGATTACAGCATGGTGATATTCTTGGCTCTCGGCGTACCCACATAAATGGAAAACGACAAAACGTTTGTAAGTGAAGTCACATTCAAGATGATTTACGGTCCTCTTGGAAATACACTCACCAGTGCCGGATTTAGTTCATGGACCGCCGAGGGCTAAGTCATACTATGCCGCCAGTAGGTAGGGAAAAAAGCTAAATCTTGGGATTTTTTTTGTAATACTTCATTTAATTTGTGTTGTTTTTCTAACTTTTGCCGTTTCTTTTCCGTTCATTTTTTAAAAACTGCACGAGAACACTCCACTAATAAATGAGTACAATTTTCTGCGCTAACGCGTAATGACGTAACGGGATTAACGACACGTAGGACATGCTGGCGCTGAGACAAAACAATACTAAAATTTACATAAACCCCTAAAGAGCATTTAAAAAGCGGCATAGCGGTGTGACCCCACGGGGTCACTGGATTTGACACATTTTCAATAGGACTATTACAAATCGGTCCAAGCGTTTGACAGTTATCGTGTTCACGGACAGACGGACACCATTGACTCCCCTATAAAGCTTGCATAGCTTTACTCTGCCGCTTAATAATTGTTTGTAATAAGCGTTTAACCTCGGGTTTAACAAGTAAATGTGCCCGACAATATAGCCAATGGAAAATAGAGGTAGATAACGGATGATGAGGTAATAAAGCGTCCCTTTGTAGTTTGCCAGCAAAGTTTAGATTTCCCGAAAACATGAAACGTGTTTTTGCTAGGGTTTTTGTGCGACCCAGCGACCTGCTCCGCCAGCAGCCCGAGCCCGGCACTGATCCTATAGGCGAAGAGACGAAGTTTTATTACCATGCTATTTCTTAAACTGAACCCCATAAATTAAATATCTACATTTAGAATTAAAACGTGACGGGAGCGACGACGTACCGCCTCTCAAAATTTCCCGCCGGGGGCTAATAGTCCCATAGCCCCCCCCCCCCCCTAAATCCGGCACTGACACTCACCGACAAAAGTAATAATTGGAAGCTTACTGCTACGTAAACAACCAACCATACACTATCGAAAAGGGCACGTTGAAGTGTAACTTTTGCGGCGGGAATTCGTGTGGGATGGGCCGCACAACGCCGCGCATTGTCGGTTTTGATCTTGATATAAACGCTACAGTAGGTATAATTACAAAAATTGGGAAACCGGATTTTATGCATTATATTCTGCCAAACTTAATTGACATTTATATATCGATTTTCTCTCCATTGAAATAAAAACTTTTTTTAAGGTAAATTTTGCAAGACAAGTTCTTATTTTAGTAATCCAGTTTTGTTACACACTGACAAAAAAGGCCCACGTAAACGCAGTAAAAAAATAAAACTTAAAGACTTAATTTTTTTAAATTAGGTTGTTTTCAATCAAACGGAAAGTCGAAAAATTGTTATTATTGTCAAAGAATCCTTTTCTTTTTACTCTAAATTGAAAAAATAGAGGTAACAACTTCAGCAAACATATTCATAACAAGTAATAGTGCAGCGGGAAGAGACCCGCGAAATCGTTTAAAAAATTTTTTCGGAGTAGAAAGAATTGTGACCCACACCATTTTGTTCAGAAATGTTTGAACCTTCAGAATCTCGCTTTACGACATTTTCCCGTGGTCCTGACTAAAGTTATAGGCCGCTAAAGTTGAACTTTTCTCATTTTCGCGCGCGTTGGTGGAGAATTCAAAAACGGCATAGGTACATATATTGAATGGTATATACCTGAACTTACTTAGGATTATCAGCATGTACTTAGGTTGTTAAAGTCAGTTATCTGGTCGTTATCTAGTGATAGGTAAACGAGGAATTTGAATTTGGATTTCTTCTGCCGATGTATCTCGCTTTTGAAAAACGACTGTGCGTTGAATTGTTTCGTCTGTTTCCACAGAATATGGCCTAAGTTCTTATTCTGTGACTATTTCATCGTTGATGTCGAAGTTATTAATGCTCGCTGTGATATAATTATCATTTTTTACTTGACAAATTTTTGTGAAATGTAGGTAGACACCCTTAGCAGAACATGTAATTTTGACGTTTACTGTACTTGTTATGCCACTGTCGGAGAACATTTTCTGACCCGAAAGTCCAATTTGCAAATGAGTAGGTATAACTTTTGTTTGAAAAATAATCTTTAGAAAAACTGTTCAACAATTTTGTTCCGTATGTACCTACACAACAAACTTCGTGGAATTTTGTCCATTTTCGTTGTCCGGCCAAGAATTGCAGTGGAATTATTTTTTTTCGAATTTTCAAAAACTAATTGCAGATTCGTGATTTTTATATTCAAAAACCACCAGATACCAAATTTCGTCGAAATCAACATTTTTTCGCACCCATATTTAGGGGTGTGCCCTTTCGTGGTAGGAAAAGGAATTTTGAAAAATTATATTTGCAAAACCGGAAAGGGCATACAGCAAAACCTCTTCAAAGACTTACCATCAGTCTCTGTAATTGTTATATGGTTGCTGAGAAAAAAATTAAAGGAGAAATGGAAACTTTACCACTTCTTTGAGGGTGGCTCCTAAACGAATACATGGAGTTAATGAATTGTTTGAGAATTTACAATGCAACTCGGCGGAATGCATTTGTAAACGGCCTAAATAGCTAGTTTTGGTATTCGGAGAGAAATTTCTTAGTACCTAAAGTAGAAACTCTTACGCATCGCTCTTTGTTGCGCGAACGCTGCTGACTATCCTTCCCTCTCCGTCTCACTCGCGACTCCCGACTCGGCGAGGTTGGTAGGTTTTTACTTAAATGACCGTAACTTTTTTATTATAAAAAATTCACGGTAATGTTATAGAAAATAAAATAATCACAATGCTTTGGAGCATCGAATGAGCTATAAATATTGGAAATCGATATCGTGAAATAAAAAGTTATGAGAGTTCAAAGTGCGCACTTTTCATCTGCTACACGAATTTTGGAAGTTGACGGTCAATTTTCTAAAAACTGTGCATAACAAGGTAGGTAAATATGAATGCTTTAGATTCTGCTATAAATGTACTTTCATTTTACAAAAGCAATTATTGATGTATACCTACCTACCTATCGCTTAGTTGCTGAGAAAATAAATACTTTCGGTGGCCTTGTCGCGCGCGCGAAAATGAGAAAAGTTCAACTTTAGCGGCCTATAACTTTTGTCAGGACCACGGGAAAATGTCGTAAAGCGAGATTCTGAAGGTTCAAACATTTCTGAACAAAATGGTGTGGGTCCCAATTCTTTCTAATCCGAAAAAAAAACTACCTCAAATAAGCGAGTTAGCGCCGGCTCTCCGCTGCACTATAACTGATGAAGTGATAATTTATACTCCCTCGGCATTTAAAATCACATTTCCTTTTAATGGAAACACAAGAACCATATGAACACATTGGTTATCTAATAAATAATTAACTTATTAACAAGGTATCATTTCCATTGTTATGGGCCCCACGCGTCGCACCTTTGTCTCTTCTTATCAGTTTCTTTGTCTTCGTGACTGTCTTGATAACGGGCGATCAAAAATGAGTTGCTCTCAAGTTAAGTAGTTAAGTACGATTTCCCATGTAAACAAAATTTCCCACGGTGACTCGACAGCAAGAATTCATGTGTCCATCGGTTTATAAATATTTTACTTTTTTGCATTATTTACCGTGCGTTGTGCCTATGTATAAATTTAATTTAATAAAACAAAAAAATTACGGGGGTTCAAAATATAGTTAGGAGGTTGTTTTTGTTTTATTAACTCAGTAGTAGCACAAATTAACTATAATACAACATCTGGGTAGTAGTATTCACTATCTTATTAAATACCTATGTGATAAAATTACGGAAGGCCAAGAAAAGTAAAAATAAGTAATAAGCAACTTTAGTTAAAATTTCAAAGAAATACCTCCATAAATAAGAAAGTTGCCATTGCGCAGTCTGCGCATGCGCACATCTGATTTTTACTATACGCGATATATTTGCCTTCACCAGAAGTACCTATCTGTGGTTAAAATTTCAACAAAATACATTAATAAATAAGGAAGTTAATTGTCAAGATTTTCCTTGGCTCAGGTGCTAGCGCTATACGCTACCGAATGCAAAAAGAACGAACTTAATATCTTGAAAACTGTAGGAGTAGTTAAGGCCTCGGACAGATGGACGGACAAAGAAAGTGGCTGCAATAGCGCACCCAACTTCGTTGGAAAATGCGCTAAAAATTCGAGAAAATGTCCTCACAGAAAAAGAAACCATCCTGTTGGGAATATCAGAAACGGCCGGCGGTCAGAGAGAGACGAAAAAAAGAAAAAAAAAAAAAAATGAATTTGCAAAAATATCTCACTCCATCATACTGCAAAACCCATCGCAGCGGCTATGACCGCATCGCCGGAAGGAACATCCACAGAAGTAGAAATGGAGACACAAGACCGTGATTCAATAATGTAAATGAAAATGACAGTGAATAGAGTTCACGACAATGAAGATGAAACTATAACTGCTAACTTCAATATGGAGAATCTGGCTTCTACATGTACTGCTGAAGCACTCAGAAGTCGCAACCAATCTGGCAAAAATCCTTTTGAAAGACCCCTCATTTTATGGAACCGATATAACATGCGCACGCATATTTCATTGTCATTCTACTTTTTTTAAAAACGACAGTAAATAGTATGCTTTTAGGTTATGATGAAGAGATATCAATTTCGGCCGATATTTCTCTTAAGTTTCTTATGGAATTCACTTCCACGAAAATTAAAACATTCAGTTTCATATCCTCCATTAAAATTGAGGGTTGTTTACGATGTCTTATGTGGATCACATTTAAATAACCACTAATTTTAAAGGGATCAACACGGAAAATAAGTCTCCTACGCTCCTTAAACTATTAGCGATACTATACCAATATCAACTTTTTTTTCAGTTGAATACATCGCACACGAACGAAAATAAAAATACGGAAGCCAAATTTCAATTAATTAATATGACATCAAAATCTTCATTTATTTTAAGAAGATGTTTTGGTTGCATAACATTAGGCGTCCCTCAGAAGGTTTTTGTCATTAAAAACTAGACATAGGAAATCACTATGTCTCCTTCTAAATGAATACTTATCACGGTATGTCATCCTTAAATGCGCATACTATGCGACGAAGTTTGCATGCTCATAGGCCCTGTTAAATACAACTATCAACTACTCTAAACCATAGCGGTGTTCTGAATCGCAGTAAGCAAAGATCATACTATACCTACAGTCTACACTAAAGTTACGCGGAACGTAAAGCCATAGCATTGATTATACCTACACACTAACTCAACTAACTGTATAATCAATGACCATAGTATCCTCTGCGAATAAAATCACAGCTGATTTGAAGTTTGAATAATACCTATAATAGTACAGAATGCCAATCGCGTCCGGGCGCTAACGTGTCCCGGCGGCAAACTGTCCCGGCGCGGCGCGGCGTTTGGATGCGACTTTTTTACCCGTACTACATAGGTAATTTTAAGTATTGGAAAACTGGATTCATACAATCAGAGTTCTAGAGAGAGGTGTCCATTGCGAGGGGCCAATATCCATAAGGAATTTAGTGTTTCTTTCCTACAAAATCGACGTAGGTAGGTTACAACCTACCATCTGACGTCGTCGAATACAATATTATGATAGAACATCACTTTAGTCATACAATCTAACGTACTAAATTTATCTATTATAACCATCATTATGAATATAAACACTTTTCTGCACAATGACTGTCGATGTTTGTAATTGGGCTATAAATGTATAGGTAAATAATATTATCACAAATTAAATAAGTTAACGAGCGAACATAGTCGTAATGGGGATAGAAGTTTGTATTGCTGATAATAACATTAAAAATGATTTTTACGAGAAAATTTAACAAGTTGCTTATTTTAATACCTTTGGGTGCATATTTTATATTCGTTATTTTATATACGGTTACAGTCACATTGGAAAACTCATCTATTGATGGATATGAGAATGTCTACGCTGAAAGAAATTTAAATGGTCACGCGAAATTTAATGGGAACAATACATCGGGGACGAACAACCAGGTGTTACCTTGGTATTTTTCTAATGGAACTATACGTCCAAACATTACAAGTAACAAGCAAAACTTATTATATGTTGACGGTTCGGGTGATCGGATTATTGAACAGCTTATGTACGTTCCTAATAAGTACAATGGTAAGTTACTATGCGCGCACTTCAAGAACTAGACGGAAGCTTTCAGCCGAAACCGCACAAATGAAGAAGGTGTCAGTCTACAACGGATTGAGTAGATGGGCCCAACGCGCGGGTAGCGAAACATTTCAAGTGTGTCCTGTAGCTGCTTGTACTTTGATTGACGACTTTGCAGATACTGTTAGTGTAGATGCCATAGTATTTGAACAGCCGTTCTTTAATTTCCCCATCAACCGAAATCTAAACCAAGTTTGGATTTTGTACTTGTTGGAGTCAGCTCCTAACTCGCAGAGCTTAGTTTCGTATAACAACGTTTTTAATTGGACAGCAACTTATCGCAAGGACAGCGATTTGGTTGCACCGTACGCCAAATGGGTCTATTACGATCCCCAGGTGAGTCAACTCTCTTCTACTTATGGTAATATTGCACGCTGACATCTCGCTGTTTAATTTTACTCTGCAAATGCTGTTTCAGGTAACTGGAAAAACTCAAAAAACGAATTACGCCAAAAATAAAACAAAAAAAGTCGCTTGGCTTGTATCAAACTGCGACGCAATTAATAATCGTTACGAGTACGCCAAAAAATTACAAAAACACATACCCCTTGACATATACGGAGAGTGTGGTCGATTACGCTGTCGCGATGAGGGTGAATGCTTTAAGATGTTAAACGATTACAAATTCTACCTATCATTTGAAAATTCAAATTGTCGGGATTACATTACAGAAAAATTATTTCGAAACGCTTTGGAAAACAATGTAGTGCCAATTGTATTGGGCGCCAGAAAGGAAGATTACATCAGGAGCGCTCCAAAAGATTCTTTCATCTATGCGCATGACTTCAATAACCCCAAAGATCTTGCACGATTTCTCAAAAAGTTAGATGAAGATGACGATATGTATAATAGTTATTTTAGGTGGAAAGGCACTGGAGAGTTTATAAACACACATTTTTGGTGTCGGTTGTGTGCGTTACTACATTCTACATATTCGAACAAATGGTACAAAGATGTTAACGAATGGTGGTCGGGTCCCGGGGTGTGCGACTAGACAAGACTATTTAATTAAAGTCTTGTATAAAAGCCACTCTTTTATTTATCATCATTTGAAGTGGTTTTTCTACGAAGCAAAATATAGATGCATGAAGTACGCACGATATTGGAAGAGTTAGTGCTTGATCGCGCACGAAAAAGTGCTACACTCCAAGGTTGATAATAATTTTTGGGTTGCTATTGTATTTCAATCATAATCCTCCAACTCCACCACCTACACCACCCACATAACGGACACGCATTCTTTCCTACTCCTTTTTCCCGCTCCGTCATGTCCCACCATTCAATAACTATAGGTACTTACAACATATGAACATACCCTTACTTAAAACCAAAATTCCCATTACCTTCGCCATGGTCAAAAAGCTCCAGGTATCTTTTCACCCAATTCTCCGGTCCTAAAGTCCAAACCCACACTTCTAAATCTCCATCCTTCTCCTGCGTTATCCGGAATGTCGACCGCGACTTTGCAGAACTCGAAATTTTGCAATTCATCTCTCTCCCTAAAATTACCAGCAAGTCCACCTTAAGGACCTCCTCCAGCACAGTGTCCGCACATTTATTAGCAGATACTATCCATGCGAACCATATCATAATCCAGATTTTACTCCAAAATACTCTGCTCCCTATGTATTAAGATTGGTCACATGTCCTGAAAATGCCATACCCTCCTGTAATTTGATATAAGGTGGTAGCAATTGAAGAGATAAATCCAACGATACGCCTTAAGTGAAAGAACGACGCAATTACATTAGGATTAGGTAATATTTTGAAGACAAAACTTACCTTCGGTGAAGGCATAGATAACTTAATTGTGTTGGGCGCCAGAAAGTAGCATTACCTCAGGAGCGCTCCAAAAGATTGCTTCATCTATGTGGATGACTTAACGACCAGATCAGACCGTTCAAATAAAGATACTCTGTATTATTTATGTAGGTATAATAGTACATTATAATCAAGGTAGAGAAGTACAGTATTATTGGCTGAGCACCAAGATTACATCTCGAGGTGCGTTGTGTTTTCTAAAAGTGACAGCGAGACAGTTCTCATTATTGACTATACACAAATGCCGAAAAAGCCTACTTTACAAGTGGAAAAAGGGTTAATAATCATGTCATCAGACGCTAGTAGTGAAAAAAATAGTTATTTATGTATTATATTAAATGCAACCATAATATAACACATATACTATGATGCAACATAGAAGATTACATGGCCCTGGAGGGAAAACTCAACGTTTAAATTAAGCATTGATTATAATATAATAATATGTATAATCAATGAATTAAGGAACATATGGAAATTAGTGAATCATATATTCATATAGCAACTCATATAGCATATAAAAATTCTAAACCGAAGAGTTTTTGGCAGCAGGTCCTCCCCGGAGACAGGTAGCGTTGGCCCTCGTGCGGGAATTCCAAGCCTATAGTTGAGATTAGAGATCAACCACAGGATTATAGGTGTCGTAACTAATTTCGTTACGGTCTTCTACCACCGTCTTTTCAAGGTAGAAAGGGTTAGTTTACAAACAACAAGGCAGAACACAGAGCAAACAATTCAATAACTTCTACAACTCTAAAGGAATGACCAAAATTTATAAATAAGGAGATCAAGACCATGTAATCAAAACAACCACAAATTGCGTAAACATTTACAGCAAAAATGAAAACGATTTCAAAATAATAAAAGTCAACGTCATTTCCCATACACATGATGAAGTTAAAAGCGTGACAATTTAAAAAACAAAGATTAAAATTGATAAAAAAAAGTATATCAAATGTTGTATACAAGACACAAATAAATTATAAACAAATGCAATGATTACTACCTGCATTAAATAACACAAAAAACTGTCGCCGTCCAAGGCATAATAATATTTCCGAGATAGGTTCGTGTAATGAATGGTATAGGTACGACTAATTTTAGAGATTGGGGCTCGATTTATGCGATTGAAGCTAAAGTACGGGAAGACGGCGCAAACAGCTTTCCCCTTCTTCGCCATCGTCAGCTACCCAAAATATCATGAAATTTAAAGATTAAATTTTAGATATTAGTATGAGAAGCAATAAAATGATTACACTTTTCAAAAGAAAAGCAAAGAAAAATGAATATTGAGAGTCAGTTGACAAACAGTAACCTACACCTAGTTTTTGCCAGGCTTCATCATCAAAAATCCCCGTTCTCGGCATCTGCGCAAAACGGTCAAACTCGAGCCGTCACCATAACCTATGCATGTGTGCGATTTATTTCTAACAAGCATTCCTATAACCGTGAGAATGTTCCCAGTATGTCAAGACCTTATTAATTGTAACGTGGAAAATTCATCTATCTTTAGCTGAAGAAGCTAAACAGCTCTTACTGTTGAGAGGTTCCACCCTGTATATACAACTTACGACGATACATAGATTTTTGAGAGTTGGCAATCATGCAATTTCTAGGTGGGGAAAAGCTGCCTGCGCCATCTAGAAAGCACGAATGGGGGGTTACGTTTGGCAACTTGTCTTGAATGGCGGTACTGAACGCGTCGCTCCATAAATGTTTGTTGTTATTTTGTGTTATTTAATGCAGGTAGTAATTTTTGCATTTCTTTATATCGTATTTGTGTTTTGTATGTGGTATTATATATTTTTTGTTGTTTCAATCTTCGTTTCTGAAATTTACTTGGTTTAACCGCAATGCAGAATCATATGTGATACCGTTCTGCTATTGTTTTTAATTGTTTACGTTCTTGGTGTAATGCTTGCTTAATTTATGTTTATTGATGTTGATTACTTGGTCTTGTCCCTGAAATAACATTCATATAAGCCTTAATCATTTTATTTTAATATGTGGAAATTACCGATTCGTTTGATGTATGTACTGACAATTTTCTCCGAGAATGAAGCAGTCACGGGGGTGGTAAAAACTGTCAAAATTGAGCTACGACACCTAAGTCCGTGATTGTCTTCGACATTCAACTGTAGGCTCGAAACCCCGAATGAGGGGCGACGCTACCTATCTTGCGGGGGCGAGATTACGCTAATCAAAATTTCTTCAGTTTAGAATCTATGTGCGATAAATAAGTGACGATTCAATAATTTCCACATATTTCATTTTTAGCTAAATTTGCCTACAAGGCCATCTAATTTTCAAACTTGCTTTTAACAAAAAGACTATTGCACCAAAGATGAGTCACATCGTGCACTCTTAACCCTTTCTCAGAATTTAGGTACCTGCTACTACCTGACCCATTGTTCCCAAAAACTTGCTTTTAACCTTGAGTGTAACCAACATTGTATATATGCATTTACTATCTTTGTTAACTATTGCTTAAACTTTTACAAAATATTTTGTTAATTCACTTTTGGACTGTATTAATCAAACTGCGAGGTTTTTCTTACGTCGTACTCTTTTTTCCCTTTGCAGTTACTTTTGCAAGAGTACAACACCTTTTGGCTTTGCTTGCTTTGTTTATATTAATGTACAGGGTGACCAACTAAGAATGCGAGGTACTGTATCTGAGAATCTATCCATCGTAGAGGCATGCGGTAAAAAAATTTATTACTAAAACGGTCACGAGCAAAACCTGGAAAATATTTTTAAGTTTCTGAAATGGCCGCTAGGGGGCGTAACTGCAATCTGGAATCTAAAAAGTGATGTTTCTGTGAATTCCGCTATATTAACCTAACAAAAAAATGTCCGGTCTTTGAAGACGACGATAATCTGAACAATTTTTGTTTGACAATTTTTCCTGTATCTCTAAAAATGAAGTGGTGGGGGGTATTTAAAGGTTTCAGTAAAGACCACCCTGTATCTTTTTCTTCTGTTACTTTTTTTACCGCAAACCTCTACGATGGACAGGTTCCCAGATACAGTACCTCGCATTCTTATTTGGCCACCCTGTACATCAACTAAATTTCCGGGCTTTCACAATCATAATAATTACTATCATTATTAAACAAACTTTTCACAATTTCTGTGTTTTATTTAACGTTCCTTCCCTACTGTGCTTCAGGTCAAAGCGTTTTCTACAACTAACGTAGGGGGCCCTGCTTTAGATGTTTCATCACGTGCCATTTTTCAAATTTGAGCGAGATCTTGTTTATTTTTGGAGGAAATAGCCATTCGGATGACCATTTTTTAAACGTTGCCGGGTTGACTTTATTTCCGTGTTCTTGTAGTGTGAAGATAGCGTAGAACCTGGGGGTTAAGTACACTACACTACACTAAGCTACTCCCATGGTTTCATTCACTTGACTAACGAAATGACTCATTCGTCAAAATGGTTTTTTCTTCTTTTTTCAAAAATAAAATCATAAGGGTGGTGCGTGTTGTAAGCACCAGTCTATTGTGTAGCGAATCACGTGGCCAAACCTTTCGTGGGTACGAATACGTATACCTGTGCACGTATGGTTTCGTCGAATTTCAATATAAATACCAAGACTATTTAGATTCAACTAATCCATACCGTGTAGCAATGATCATTGTCTTTTCCGTACCTACATTTTTCGTTCTCGATGGTTTTGGTACAACCAGATATTGTTCTCAAAGAGACAAAAATACAGTTATACAAATACAATGCATGGAGTTCAGGAGAGGCAGTTTTGATTGCCAGTGAAAGTATTCACAAAAGTGTTCTTATCTAATTAACAATTTAATCAATTAAATTATTAAACGTAAACTTCCCATTTACAAAATTAATCTTAAAGAACATTTTTACATTTGTGATGTTTACAAGTACTAATATACCCACTAACATTGTTGGTAGAAATTTACATACTTAATTCAGTCATTTAATGATTGTATGCATACTTTGGCAGAATTAAATGTGCTGTTAAACGGTAACTTTAGAAATTAAAAATAGGTAACAATAAATAATAATCATTTATAATACAATACAATTGCAACAATCTATCCTATAAGTAAATTTACCTACTAGAAAATTAGGTACAGCTAATGTGGTGGATTTCTCCAAGACGATCCTGTGCACACACCTGGCCCTCGCCACCAGTCGTTTATATCTTCGTAGTGTCTCACGGACAATGGCGAATGTAACATTGCACAAAGGCGACACCAAAAATATGTGTTAATAAATTCCCCAGTTCCTTTCCACCTGAAGTAAGAATTGTAAAGATCGTCATCCTTATCGAGCCGATGGAGGTAGGCTGCTAATTCTATAGGACTATTAAAATCATCTACATGAATGTACGACCCTTGGGGAGCGCTTTTCTCGTAATCTTCCGGTCTCGCGCCCATCACGATAGGCAGAACCGCTTGTCCCAAACCGTTCACATAGAACTTTTCCGTAATGTAATCGCGACAGTTGGAATTTTCAAACGCCAAATAGAACTTATATTCGCGTTCTAATATTTCAAAACATCGATGGTCCGTTCTCGGGCACTTCAGTGGACCGCAAGTGCCGTAAATATCTACCGAAATATATTTTCCTAACTCGCGCGCGTAAGCTAAACGTCCGTTACGAGCACCGCAATTTGATACAAACCACGCCACTTTCTTTGTCTTGTTCGCCGCGTAGTCTCTAACTTGAGGCTTCTGCGTTACCTAAAATAGAATAAAAGAATTAGAATAGCATAGTCAGAATAATTAAAACATTTACACAAACACGACGAGTGTATTCTCCCGAATGATTACTTAGATGTAACTAATCCATGCAGCATGGCTATGTTTAGGCTTTGTTCAGACACGGCGATTCTCATGAGCATCTTGTTTACATGAAAATGTTCCAAATCGTTCAGCGCGGAAATCGTGCGACTACCGTCGTGTTTGAACAAAGCCTAATGCTTCCTCTAGACACGTAGCTATTTGTGAGTAGTCAGTAGAGAAAACCTGTACTTCAACCCGCATGTTTGAAAAATACGGCAGCACATGGATCAGAATGACGACACCTATCAATTTAAAGAAATATACCTGAGGATCATAGTAGGTCCACCTTTCATATGGAGTTACTAAATCGCTGTCCTTTCGATAAGTTGCCGTCCAATTGAATACGTTGGGAAATTTAATCAACTGAGTGTGATACGGACACTCCAATAAATACAAAATCCATATCTGCTTGCTAGGCCGAGTCTGACCAGGATGTATGAAATGATCTTTATATAAAATTGCGTCCGCGTCAACAGCTCTATTCTTATCCGCTACCAACGCGCATCTATTAACTGGACAGCCGTGAAACGCAGCGGAGCCCGGCATCTGTCCCCACGTCCCCAATCCGTTGTAAGTCAGAATAAGTTTTGTGGGCTCATCAAATCCTACAAAAAAGGCAAAGTTAATTAACTTGTCTAGTAAAAGACAGTAATCACCTTCGTAGTTCTCGGGAACGTACATAAGCTGCTGAAGTATGCGATCGCCATCGGTCTGGTCGGGGAAAAGGTCCGTCTCGCCTTTGGCCGGTTCCGGAAAGTCTAATCCGCGAGAGAAATACCACGGCTTTCTTCTCGCCTCTTCTTTTATCGCCGGTTCGGTTTGTACGCGCTGCGTTAAAATTTGTGCAGTGTAAGCAATTTGTGCCTCGGTTGTACGTGTCGGAGGGCTTATCGTCGGCGGCCATGTCCAACGCTGATGGATAGAAAGAATTAGAAACACTGCACCTCCGCAGCAAAGCACGCACAGAAAAATTCTGCGCAGTGACAGTCGCGGAGGCATATCTATCTAGCCGTTACCTGCAAGTTACGAACAATTTTATAGTTTGGTGATAAGAATACCGTAAAACTAACAAAAGAGACAGTATGGAATATGTACCTAAACACTGATAACGTTATCGTCTTAGCCATTAAAGTACAAAATAGGTAATTAAAATTAGATGTAGGTGTACTCATTAAATTTGTCGTAAAACACAAGATGACCTATCAGCGTTGGTCAAATGACTTTTCTCGACGTCGTCATAGAGACGTTAATATTATGGAGGTATTTCGATACTTGTCTCACCTTGACTTTGCAGTACCTACAGGAAATATTGGGCATTAAACGCTCGATCCGTCGTCGTATTGTTCAAAATTCTCAGAGATTATATCGCTTGTTTTGAAAGCCAAAAAAAACGAGGACGCTAAAAGCTAACTACGGAGTCGTAATATCACTTACACACACAATAATAATAAAATAAAGATAAAATAAGTTAAAACTGGGTGGCGTTTTTCTGTATTTATAGTCAAACAAAAGTCGCAGTGGAAATGCTGGTAGAATGTCGTAGTCAGAATGAAAGTTTTTATTTGTCCCTGACATTTTTGAGATTCACATTCGTTCCAAGCGATGTTTCAAATCAGGCGATAATGAGTTACGTTTTTACGTTTAGTTTTTCCGTATTGCACTCCAGTAGGATTAAAGATTTGTGATTGTGATGCGCTGTTACTCGCATTTTTAGTAATTGATACCGTCGCTATGAGCCGTTTTGCTAACGAAAGCGATTAGATACGTTTTAGCAACATTTTTAAAAATCTGTGAGAATTGTCAGGATTTTGTCATAAAGGACATGGTTATACTTTGGTAGGGAATGTCGCATTAGCTGATAAAGATGATTACTAAAATTCAGTTCAAAAATTTGGTTTTGAATTTGTATTTTGTTACACATACATAGAAAAATTTACACATATACCGCTTTATAGCGAACATGAACAACATAATGTCTGACGCAGGGTCTGACAATTAACAGGAAACGTATTGGGGAAACGCGCGGTTGCCACGATCTCTTTGAATTTTAAAAAGGTGCGCTAGTCCAGGTCGTTGCATTCAGAAAATAGATGTCGTTTCGGACCTTCTAACGGCCGAGATTTCAATAGCAATAGCGAGTGAAGTGGGAATGCGGGAATTCTAAGCTAATTTTGAACGTGAGGTACGCTGAAATTGAATTCTTAGTAGTTACGAGCGTAAACCCTTCTTGGTTTATTTCGCGTAAATACAAAAGATTTTCGTTTAACTTCAGGAGCGGCCACGTACACATATTTGTGTGTGAAAAAATTGATTCGACATTTTTTTGCTGCGTTGTGAGAAATATGCTCGCGCATGTGTGAATATTCGTGGTGAGATTTCCAGAACAGAACGTGCATTTATTGAATGAAATCTATCAGAATAGTAGTAAAGAAGTGAGAGTGAGAAATATATTAAATAGCCACAACTCCCAAATTTAAAGTACTTCCTGTATTAATATATTAAGGTATTTGATTTTAGCTCTGTGTGAATACGCGTGAATGTATTTACGGGGTGTCAATTTTAAAACTTGCAGTCGGCTATATTTTCCAAACTAAAGAAGATATTGAAAATCGCGCAAAACCGTGTCGGGGGTATCGAGGCGGAACCAGAATGACGTTATGAGCGACAATGAAGTTTGTCACACTAAACAGTGCCGTAGACAGATGACAATCCGAGCAGTGGTTGTCATCCCTACAAATCTGATGACAGCAGTCATTATAGACATCGCCAATGTGACAGATGCGCCCGGAAAAGAGACAGGTGTGGCCGGTAAAGTGACAGGCGGAAGGAAAAGTAGTCTGGTAATAGCTATTTATATGTACAGTGTGTAAAGCGATGGGATATACAAGAGGGAATTTTTTTGTAAATATTGATTTATGAAAAAAATTTATTCTTCATGATATTTTTTGCTTGTTTTGAAAGTACCAATAACGTTTCGATAATCTAAAATTTATTTATAGAAATCTGGAAAAATAATAAAATTAATTTTTTTATTGAAAGTTATCATTCTACATTATAATTAAGATAGAGTATTGCTATCAAACCACAAACAATCGAAACGTTATTGGTACTTTCAAAGCAAGCAAAACATATTATGAAGAATAAATTTTTTTCATAAATCAATATTTACAAAACAATTCCCTCTTGTATACCCCATCGCTTTACACACTGTACATATATCAAGTACATAAACTGGGTCTTTATGGACGAGCCGTTTATTTAGCCCAGCGAGCTTGTGAGCGAGGCACAAATAAACAAGGCGAGTCCACATAAAACCTATTTATGGACGCGATATATACAAAGCTTTATGTACGACTGCAACAACCCTTAAAAATGAAAATTTCATGGAATTCATTAAACGATGAAATCTATATATCATTGACAACAGATGTCAAGCATTGGTCAAGTATTTCTAAAATACTTGAATTTACCTTGGATTGACACCTAAGTACGACTGTCACATTGACAGGCGGCCGTTTTACTTTATCATTATGGACAAGGCCATACTATTGAAAATTATGGCCACTAATTGCGACTGTAATCACCGCACTATGAAGCAGTCGTACATAAAGGTAGGTATGTATACCTATTGCCTTTGTCATGGCATCTAAAATTTCTTGACATAACGTTGGCATGAAAATGAAGGTTTCATCAATATTCTTTGGTTTCATGACGATTTTGGATAAAACTAGTAACTATGTCCTTAAATAAAATCTTCATACACAGAGTGGACACTAGGGGTGGGGGCACGAACTTATAAATTAAGATGGACTGCTGATCAAACAGTTGCATAGAGATATAAATGGCCTTAGCATGGGCGCGGCCCAAGGTTACTTTATTTCTAATAAAACAATCTTGGGCGCGGCCATGATGTGCATTTGTTAGTTATTTTCTAGGGGAATTTTCCTAGTGCTCAAGTGTTGAAACTATTGCAGCCTTAGAAAATGACATGTGTCACAGTAATTTATTTAGAAAACGCGAGGTTAATGCTTGTTTATTAGTTGATTTGAATTTCGCGCCAAGTGAGTACGCATCATGGCTGCCCCCATGTAGGTGTCATTTATCAATTCAGCATTAGCAGTCCGGCTTAATTTATACGTGCCTGATTATATTCTCTTCAACGATGTAGCATAACCTATAGGGTATAATTGGGCAGCAACCCAATTCATGTCTGGAGTAGACAGACACTTCCGCCGTTATCCCCACAAATAGCTTTATTGGAATCACAATTATTTCAGGATTAAAAATTACACTTCCAACACGCAAACCATTTGTACTAAAGGTTTTTGATCGCATCCACTTTTCCACCTTTAAATGTGTTGTGCAAATTCAACACCACAAATATGTTCAGAAGTGCATATAGTCAAGTTTAATTTGAAGGGGACGAGGAATTGAAGAAACAGTAGTTAGACGGTGTGTGGCATCACGCTATTCTTTGTCGAAAAAAGATCGCTCTTTCAAAAAGCAATAAGAATAACTACTTAGGAAAATTATATATTTAGACAAAATGATTTTTAGTTGTGATAAATGAGCTTAAGCGATCCCAACAAAAGCATTTTGTATAATGTTCAACAAATCAATGTCTGATTTTTCGAGTTCCAAGCATATGTTGGTATCTGCTGGATGCCAATAATCAACTTATCTACCTAAACCGCAATAGGAAATCCTGTCGTTGACATTTATTTCGAGGTATACCACATGCAAAACTTTCACTGTGACTGGTCTAAAGATGTGCAACTGCAAAGCGCATACGAATTGCGCTTGACAAATACACGAAGCTTTGAGGACTAAACATTGGCGAATTAAGAAAAAGAAATTTTTATATAAGAAAGACGTTAAACTAACCTCTTAAGTTGAAGTATGCACCTGCACTTGTAGTAACCTGCCAAATTGTTGTTCAATCCATACTATTAATTACGTTGGAATGGTGACCATGAGTATGTATTGTATTGTAAAATTATCTGATTCTTATATTTATCGACATCTAAGATAACATTATTTTTTACCAATGTCCGGCATGCGTAAATGCGTTGGCTGCTGCATATAAGCATTGAATAATAAATCTGAATATTATTCAATGATATAAGTAATTAATACTTAGGTGGGAACCAAGGTAGTGAATTATTTCCTTTGTTAGTGAGTGTTGAGTAGTAGCTATAGTTATTCACTGCGCTGTTACAACGGTTTGGAGGGCACACCAAAAGAAATTCATTCCAATGACTTTCTCAATCTCGAGACACTTTGAAGAACAGAACCGCAAAGGTCATTAACGAAATGGAAAACGGAAATGGTTTCCTCTATCTGGGTAGAGCGCAATTATGTTAGTGCGTTTATTAAAATGCTAACTCGAACAAGTTACAATTTATTATCCCATTCTCCATACAATTCTTGTATTATCTAATTCACCCCAAGTTACTGTCTCCATTTTCTATTAATCTAGGTTAGGATAAGTCGATATAGAATTATGGTACCTACCACTAACAAATTGTACCTAGAAAGATACTCGTCGAGATCATAAACTCCTTTTTGCACCCCTGTTTAGAGATACACAATTTGGTGGTAAGGATTTTGGATTTGTTAAAGACTTTGTCGCCCAGTAGTGTGTAAGGATACCAGTGGCAAAATCTTTTCAGCTATCTTTCAAAAGCAAATTGATGGTCTGCCCGAGAGCGAGAGGTGTCCTCTAGGGTGTCCTAGTGCGGCCATGGGGTCCCCCAAAAATTTTACACTGGAGTGGAGCCCCCAGTATGGCACACCGATGTTGGATTCAGTGCCGACGCCTAGTGGAAGTTATTTAAAATACGCTCAACTGTGAGAAACCTAAAGATTTGTTTGAAACGCCAGCAAATACATTTTATAGGTAGCTTACTTCGTAACCAAGGACGACAAGATTAGTCCCTGAAACGGGTCTTGAAATTGTATAAAAGCTAGCAATTTTTTTCCAAATGCATCCGCTTGCATAACAATTTGGGATTAAGTTCAACCATTGAATAAAATAGTGTTTTTATTCAATGGTTCAACTTACCCTCCAAACACACCCCAAAATGTATAACATGTTAATAAAAAAATAAAAAAAAGCAATATGCACGAACAATCTAATTCCTTTAATAAAAACCCGAATTTAACTATCATAATTGTTCAAGATGACTAAAATGTCCCTCAAATTTTTTAATTTTGACTCGCGTACGCGAACCGATTTTTTCTTTTATTTTGAGATACGAGACCCCTACAAGGAGTTAATTGAAGCCCCTTCTTCATGCGTCACTTGTATCGTTGCCACTTTTATCTGTTTGAAGATTCGCCCTTATCTTAACGTGCCTTATTATCTCGCATATTAGTTCCGTTCTCTTTCTTAATGAAGCGGTACACGTATAAAAAATCCTATATCGACAACTTTTGTAAAATCAAAAAAATCTTTGACACCTAACGCGACTAGGTACCTGTTTCATGGGATAACGAAAATCCCCACTTCTTTCGACAAGATGTAATATAGCGTTGAGTGAATTAATTACTCAATGGTAATAGGGGTTACTCGTTTTTTACTTTTTACGGTTATTTCAGAATTTTTGCCCCAATTGTAATCACGGCTAACTCAAAAACTCAATTTTATGCACCTACCTTACGGACATCTGACCCGTTTCTTTGAATTTTGAAAATTAGAAATTTGGTACTATCGTTCGAACTGCTTGACTACTGCAGACAATAAATAGGTACATACCTACTTAAAGCGAAATTCAAAACTGATGTGTTGTCCTATTTATATATCGAATTTTCTTTTTTTGTCAGTTTAATTTGTATCATTATGGATCCTCAGATCCTTTATAGTTTTGTATTGCCATATACCAAGAGCATTTATCTCAATGACCAAAAACATGAATTTGATCTATTTTTGGCGACCACGTGGATTTTGATCAAAACATGTCAAAATCGTTATTCTTGCACTGATATCGTTGGGAACAAGATTAAGAGCATTATTTCAATGCCAAGACATGAATTTGATGCATTTTTAAAATGTATTATGTAAGCTTAAAATAAATTCACACTTCCAAGAAACACTAACTTTTGTAATTATGAATCAATTTCGACCAAACTTTAAGGGTTGCTCTGAATTTCTTTGTACGATTACATGTCCTATGCAATCGATCGGACATTGAACCGTCTAGTTTTACCGTTTGCTTTCAACCAATCTATTAAGAGTTCACTGATTTATAATGTTTCTTGAAACGTTTACTTTCAAAAGGAAAATTTTTAATTGAATGAAACTGTTACTCAATACTTTTGATTTATTCACCAGAAAAGTCCGCTCGTACCTTTATAATTTTTCGATAGTGCTAGACACAAAATATACCGGTTTTACCGAAAGAGTTTATTTGTCATTAAATTTCCACGATAATCTTTTTTGAATAGGTTCATGAAAAGTCCGGTTTCGCCTTCCAACGAAACTGCTGTGTTCGCGATGTAAGTAAACTGCGTTACATCCTCTCGTAACGTTTACGACACAAACACAAACTTCGGCACACGTTGTCACTATGTCGATTTTGTTCTAAAACCGTGCAAATATTTAGTACCGAAGTGCTGACGTGCATTTCTGTACGGAATATGTGCACGGTTTCTTCGACCTTCGTACGATTTTCATTGATGGAACGTGATTTTTCCATCTGATGTTTCCCGCTTAATGCCCGAAAAAAAAATTTCGGACCAAAATTTAATTCCCTACCACTTTTTAAATTTTTAAAACTGCACCGCCTACAAAATGTCGCTAATACGATAAATCAACCATATTTAATCATTAAAAAATCGGCATCGTTTCCTTGCCCCAATCGTATAAATGCCATAGGTACATACATAAGTATATGAACCCGCCATATTGTAAGATAGCTTAGTTCGCGCTTCTCACGATGCGCCACGGTATCACTATGAGTACTCGTGATCGAGTTAATTTGGTAAACTAAAACAACATTGCCGCCCATTAGGCTGACGCTGAGAACTTTTCCCATGCAATTAACCGTGGCCATGACGCATCCAAAAACCATTGACCCACAAAATATTGATCGCCAATTTTGGAATAAACAATCCTCTAACACCCTGTATACTTCCTAATAGTTGACAGGGAGTTTAAGCTAAGGACCGATATTCCTAGAAAGAAATTTAACAGGGGAATATATCAGAACCTGGTGGAAGAAGTGATAGACCCTGTGATCGAATAATGTTTGGAGATTAAAGTGGACAACAATGGGGGCACGAAAAAAATTTGCACTTTCATCGAGATGGGACTCGCCACTGGCGGGTAGGCTGTGGCTCAATCAACGATAAATAGATTGGCAGTGGCATAGTATCGCCCGACTTAACTCCGCTTGATTCCTTTCTTTGGGGACATTTGAAAACGGTGGTGTATAAGACTAAGCTTACACATTTGTCTTTTTTTTAATTTAAGTCATAACCAAAACGTCCAAATTTGATTTGTGGGTATTTCTGTATGTGAAGCTAATTTTACGGCTTTTGAAACGCGATGTGTTACTCGCGGCGATGCATTTATAACTGTAAACTAGGGGTAGGTAATTGTGGGTGTGAGGGTAATTGCTGAAACTATAAGCTAAATCTTCCATTAAACTTCTTCCTAGTTATCTAAATAGACATATTTTTGTAATTTTTGATTTTTGGTCAAAATTACAAATTGCAATCGGTGGTTTATTGTTTTGACCGCTGTATTATTAAGATCATGTTTTAATGGGATTGTTGTTAATTAGCAAAACGACGAATCATAGCCACGATTGTGGCAACAATGGTTGCCTACTTGGATATTAAACTAGGATTAATCTTACTGTTTAAATTTGACGGCGCGAAAGCCATTAGTGTTCTTTGTGGCTAAATATAATCAAGCAGAAAATCCATAGTGATGAATAGAAAATGCAAAACCCTTTCAAAGTCGGAAAGCTTTGAATTTTTTTAAATAACAAGTTCTTTTATTACAATTCTAGGTATTTTGAGTTTTTCTTTAAATAATGAACTTTATTTGTATACCTAGTGCTTGTAACAATAACCCGCCTAAAATGATATTAACTTTAATTTACTCACATCTCTCAATAACAGCATCACAACATACCTAGCTTAATAACATTCCCGGATCAAACGGTCTAATGTGACGGGAATTTATAATTCGCATCACAGAGGCGTTTAATTACAATATGAAACTATAATGAACGGATATACAATACACTAAAGCTGGAGGACAAGGGCAGCAAGCTTTTAAATGATAACGGAATAAGTAGGTTCAACCACTATCAATTTTAATTGGAAAGCATACAGACAAGTAACGCCAAAACACTTATCTCATTTGCGAATCAATTTTCATTACCTGATTATCCAAACATTCAGCATGGACCGACACAAAATACGCACTTATTTAACCAGATTATTTAAAAAATGGGCGTTCAAGGATCGCATATCACTTGCCCCCTTGGGATTCAAATTAATCTTAAATACATACCTACTGTACTTTGTAAAACACTAAGAAGGGAAATGAGAAGAAAAAAATATGATGAAAGCGACATACCGCCTTAATTGTTGCGCGACATGAAACATTTATGCCTATCAAATGAAGAAATTGGTACCTAGTACGTAATAAATAAGATCGAATGCTCATGCAAAATAAAAATAATGGTGACTCACCGGTCATCAGAAGGGCTGTGGAACGGCATGTTGGGGTGTTCTAGCCATGCTCCTTCAGCATCCACCTCTGCCGATTCAATAGGAAAATCCATACCGCGAAAATTGCGCTAGGCGCACGCGTCTGCGGTGGTTTCTTATCAACCTCATTTTCCACATGGAACGAAGAAACTTAAAAATTACTCACATCGCGCGATGTAAAATATTTAACGTTAACACGCTCCGTTCTTAGTTGATTAAACATGAATTTGTCACTGAAAAACGAGCGCGTCGGTGGTCAAATCCGCTCAGATTACGCTAAATTAATTCAAATTTGAAAGCGACAAAATAAGCGCAGCTCTTTAAAGTGCGTGAAACGTCGATATTGCCCAATGCCTTGGAAAAATTACTATGCCTTTGAAGTTTAGGAATAATAGCCCTAATTATAAGGTGTGAGCTCAAAAAGTTTCACTAAGTACCTAATGCTCTTTTTGTTCATTTGTAAATACATAGTAAAACAAATAAATATAAGCGTATATCAAAATTATCAGGGCACTAAAACTTTAATTGTGAACGACCAAGTCGTATGCTGCGAACAAAAATGAGCACATACTGGAGCATCAAACGCAACATCTTTCAGCTATTGTCCATCAAAGTACTATAGGTATAATTGTAGCACTTTAGTATCGAATAATCGAACGTTACTCAAGCTTTCATGTTTGAACGAACATCTAGATCTGAATCTGCATAATGTAAAAAGCAATGTTTATCTGTCTGTCTGTCTGATGTTAGTTATATGGGTCTACACTTTTGGCCCACCTCAAATTTGAAAGATTATCGGACTAGTCGGAGGGACCTCCTGTGGCCCAGTTATACTGGATTAGGGTTTTTTCGATTGTGTATAAATATACCAGTACAGGGGCGGCAAAGAAAACTCTACTGCGTTTGGAAGGCGAAGATATGATATAAAGAGTGATTTCTTTATTTGGGAAGATTTTTTAATTTTTTAATTTTGATTCAGAGGCCAGTAGTCGTGAACTACGACCCTGATTTTTTAAAAGCGTGCAAAAACTGCCGGCGGGAGTAGTTCGGATTATAGGGAGATTTTGTTTATTTTGCGATTGTGGTTATCGAGCCTGCTACGTAGCGTGAAATTTTCTGATTCCGCGAGGTTTCACGCCACGTTGCCAAGATTTATGGATGTCATTGAGTCAACAATATGTGTAAGTTCTGAGCTCGTACCTAGGTATTTATTCGGATTACACGGACCGCTCACATAATCTCCTATTACCCGTACTCAGTAGGCGGAGCCTACTACATTAGGAATTAGCGGCGGCTGACCTATAGAAGTGTCCACCAAAACCTAGCATCATCCAACTGCCAAGCGTCTTCGGATCAACGCTAGGAGTAGACAGATTGAGACCTATAACTCATCACTTTCCGTACCGCTACTCCTTAGTAGTTTGATACGCGCCATCTGATACTATATACAAGGTGTAGCACCTAAGATCTCTCGGATCATAAGTCCTTTACCATAAAAAATACCGAACAAAGTATTACAGCAAAATTGTATACAATTACCGCCGGTATGTTTATAAAATGTTTGATTACCAGGGGCGTGCTGTATTCCAGTGGTTTATCAAACTTGCATTTTTTTTAATGGAACACCCCATATTTTATTAGGTACTGATTTGGAGAGTACTTGAAAACTACTTATTTTTTTATGATATGATATACCCCTCTAACTTTAACGATTTCGCTGTTATAGCCTTTTTTTCTTCATAATTTGACAGTTTTTCGAAATTTTTTTGAGAGAATCTAAATCGCGCGGCTAACTTTTGGATCGAGATACTAGGTTAAGACTTCTTCCACAGCCACATAAATTTTTTTGGTACTGATTGACCTTCTTTTATGACGGTTCCATGTTTATCTGGATTTCTAGATTCACTGCAATATTCCGATATAACCACTGTACTACTAAAGTTATTATAAACAACCGACGAATTCGACATATTGTATGAATACCAGTACATACGTTTAGATAGTTCAAGAAAGTGAATAACACATACAAGTTAACGCGTAATTATTGCATAAACCGCAACAAGAAAAAAGTGCGAAATAATCTTAGCTTAGATCATTAATAGATCATATATTCACAGATATAGTCTTACATTTGCTTTCAATAAGGTCATAAGGAGCACCTGTGCCAACATACCTAACAAAGACAGAGATATATTTTGCACCGTACACATAACACTGCACATGCGCAGTAGCTTCCAAATGTAAACAGCTGAAAATCATAAACATCGCAAAAATAAGTCACTTCATATGCATGGTGCGCGTGGTAAGCTTGGTCGATAAATTGTGCAATCCCGCAAATCCCGCTCCATTTCCGTACGGGATTAATCAAGCAAAAATTGTGCGGGATCCCGGTATTTCGGGATCCTGCGATCCCGGTATTGCATTCCCTAACTAGAGAGTACTAATTTCACGCACACTAATATGGATTTCGTTATTCAATGTATACAGATATTCGACATTCACGTGCTGATTCAGCGAACCATGGAAATTTTCAGGAAAATAAAATCTACAATTTATTATCTTTTTCGCACTTTCAAGCTACTTTCACAACCCCTCAGAGTCCGACACCTATTAAGTGGGCAGGAGTGGCTATAGTGCTTGTGTCGATAAAGTTTCCCTTGCCACCTTTAACAAATCATGATTGAGCCCGATTTCTCGAAACTCTACACCTGTATCGGCAAGTGGCAATCAACCTTTTACTAGAAATGCCTGGGATCGGAAGTTGTCTAATAAGGTCGTCTCTACCACACGCCTCCTGAGTAAACGTACCTACTTAAAAATGTACTACCTATGTCTATCTAGTTTCCTATTAGTACGGTCATTTTATCTTTTTAGACAAATAAATAAAGTTTCTTAACTTGAGCTTGAGATGATACCTACCTTTCGGTGTGGTGTTCAAAACTCACCCCTCCAGCAGACGCTACACCCCCTCACCGTGAAGTTTATCATCACGATCAAAAATGAGTCCAGTCACCTTTGGAATTTTTGTTTTCATGGGAAATCGTACCTTAACTTTAGCTTCCAAAGGCGACTCGACCGCCACTCATTTTTGATCGCCCGTTATAGTAGATACGAAAAAAGTGGCAAAAGCAAAAATAATCCTTATTAAATTCAAGATCTGTTCTATGTCTTATTTTGATAGACTTGATGGGTTTCAAGCTATAGCTAGTTCCAAAAAATTCTTGTTTAAGGTAGGTAGGTTAGGTACATATTATCTAAGTAGGTAGTCGAATATAATTTATCATCAGATGAATGACAATGCAAGTATTTGGTGAATGTATAAATAAAGAACCACGAATTTGTTTATATTTTTCTCTAGCCATCGATTTCGGGCAGAATTTGTCCATCATCAGGCTTAGCTAAAATTTACATGTAATGGCAACTTATGGAATATGAAATAAGTAATTACCGTCAATAATCAATATGTATAAATTACAGTGTTTGTCCTTACTTAACATTGGAATGTGACGTAGTTGAAAAGGTAAGTAAAATTAAGGGCACGCAAGTAAGTATTATTTTATTTTGGAATGTAATGAATAAAAAACTATAGTTATTAAATCCATTTTAATAAATGTTACAATTGAAAAAAACACAAATCATCATTTCATCAATGGTCTCTTCATCTTGCTCAGGCTCTTCACAATCTTGACACAGTTATTAGACAACGATCACGGTTACACATTTTTATCTTTGACACTTTCATCCACAGAGTTGTATATTATATGCTTTCATTGTACCTGTAAAAATCGCAAAAAGGTTAACGGGGACAAACTTCAATGTGAGAGTGTCAGATGGAAAAGGGGAGAGGGTTGTGTTGTGAGTTTTGAACACTATACCCAAAGCGTATAATGACAAATTTCAAAACATTTGTTTGATATTTCCATAAATTGGTAACATAGAATTACCGTATTATACCGTGTGTCCCAGGGAGATTGTATCATAGGGAAACAGAATTAATGTATTTTTTCGCGAAAGATCAAGGAGCCCTTTGATATTTATTGGAAGCAATGAATAAATTGGAAGTTAGCGTTCAAGGTACGTTACTGCGCTTGCCTCATGCTAGAAAGAGATTGGAGTAGTACGTTAAACCATTGAATAAAAACACTATAAGAAGCCTAACCCCGTGGAAATAAAGCGCGACAGAGATTGAACTGAGAATATAATGGAAACACTGTCAATAGTGTCGATTCTTGAACTGAGAAGAATGAGAATTTGCTTTCCTCCTATTTACCGCAAAGAGAGTTCAGCGATCACAACCAATGCGGGTGCAAGGGGATTTGTCGCGCTTTCTTCCATAAGCGTTAGGCTTCTTATAGTGTTTTTATAGTGTTTTTATTCAATGGTTAAACGCTAATTTCAAAGGCCTCGTGGATCCTTCACGAAAAAATACTGTAACGTTATTTATAAAATTCGGGTTCGATTTATATCAATATTTATTAAACAAAACTAAAACACTATAAAATCCGTACAATTTATATCGATTATTTATATCACTCACACTTCGCAATTTATATTCCGCGCTCGATGTTTCATACGTACTCGTTCCGTAGTAGACTGCCGCGATGTTCGGTCCGCAACCATTTATACACGCAAGCAATGTAAGTCCAGTACATTCTCGAATACGCGTAGAAAATTCCAGAACGCCAAAGGCGACGTCATGTCTGCAGCATTTCCGTTACACTGCCCCCTTCTTAATTCTGGACGTCTCGTTCAGAAACTGCGTTAGTATTACTTTTTAATGCCTCGTGTCGGAATCTGCAGTCAGAGCCTGCTCGACAAACACCTTTCTTGAAAAAGTAACAGTCCACAGTTTTGCGGAGGGTCGTCCCCTGTGGGTTGAAGCAGCATACTGTAATTCGAACGCTAGTGTTTCTAAAAATCACTTCGATCATGGTTCGCACTATTTTCCAGTCCAACCCATCTAAACCACATCCAATCTTCGGAATCGCCAAGCTATTTATGTCATAGTATGCCATGAGTTTCTTAAGTTTTTTAAAGCAGACCAGAGGTTTTCATAGGTGGGTTTGCCTTCTGACGTTTTCTTTGAAACCAAGTAGAACAAAGAGCGTTGACTATC